TTGTAGCACTCGGGTGTAGCAGATGTCCATGGGCGGCGGTATTCACTTACTATCAGGTGAACCGTCTGCTCGTTTGGCAAATATTCACATAAAAAAAATTAATTGTTTAATACAAAATTTATTACATTTGTTAAAAAATTTCGTAATATTGTATTATTTCTTGCTAATAGTAACAACGTAAAAATAAAAAGAAATAAAGGATAATGTACCTGTGTGTGCTTAGAGAACACGTGAACGATTGTTAAATAGTTTTTATTTCGAATTATATTAGTGAGCAAATACATTTATAAGATTTCAAACAATGGTTTTAACTCGCTGTTTAGCTCGATTGACTGACAGCAGATATTTATTAAGGGTGGTAGGGCCACGCAGCAGTCTCGGCTGTTGCACGAATGGGCAGACCCGTCCGGGTAAGTACCACGACCTCACAGAAGATCAGCGTAAAGTGGAAGTATGACAAATACTTTCGCGTTTTGTTTGTTGTGTGAGGTAGCCGAAGCCCAATTTGTAAAAGGTTGTCAACGCATTTGTAGCACTCGGGTGTAGCAGATGTCCATGGGCGGCGGTATTCACTTACTATCAGGTGAACCGTCTGCTCGTTTGGCAAATATTCACATAAAAAAAATTAATTGTTTAATACAAAATTTATTACATTTGTTAAAAAATTTCGTAATATTGTATTATTTCTTGCTAATAGTAACAACGATTTTAAGCTAATTAACGCATTACACTTTATACTCATTTAATAAAAAAATAAAAAGATATATCTCATTTGTGTTTGTAACGTGAATAAATAGGACTAAAGTTCATATTGCATTATTCATTTCCTGGAATGTTAAAAAAATCGCTATTTTATTATTTATTATAAAGAGGTATGGGGCCACACATCACTCTTTATAATAAATACGTCCGTCCGGGGGAGTACCACAACCTCATAGGACCGGTGTGAAGTGGAAATGTTACACTTCTGCATTTCGTTTGGAGCCCTAGTCCACCAAAGGTAGTAAGAACATAGAGACTCGCGAGGTCGTGATTGAAAAGTAAATACACAAAATATCGCCTGCGTAAATATTTAAGTTTAAGTTCTGTCACTCAATGCATATGCATTGAGTGACAGAGAACTGTATAAGTAGTCTGTTTTTAATGTATTTGAAATGTATATTTAATATGTTGTATATGAAATATATTTTTAATATGTTTGAAATGTATAAGTAGTCTGTTTTTTATGTTTCAAGGGGGCAAGCGAACTGGCGGATCATCTGATGTTCAGTGATAACCGCGCCGTACATGCTTATGGTTATATACAATACCCGTAGGGTTGCGGAGCCGTTAGCTTAGTAGTTAAAGCGTATCTGAGACGCTTTACCCAGTAAGCTAAAAGGCTGATTTCCACACTGACAAAAATCTCAACGTCGAACAAAAATAATTGTCTGTTCTTCTAGTCAACAAAAGTTCTATGTACGTTTTCTTACATTATATTTTTATAGGTTTATAATTTCGCACCATTTTTCTGTATAAAAGAATATTAAATACATATTATAATAAAGTATACTGGAACAATCGGCAAGGGGCACCTTCATATGCGTACGAATATACCCCGTGAGGTTCTGTACGAAAATACCCAATCAACCAAATAATGAAATAAAGATCTTTTTATATCTATATGCAAATTAGATAATTAATTTTTAAAAACACCTTAAAGATATTTTTTTATAAAGTTGCTCAAAAAGTGGCGTATTGCAAGGACGTATAGCGTTCGAGATGTGGGCTATTACACACTCAAGCTTTTTCTTTACCCTTTCGGAACTCGTGCTTTCTCTTTCCCAACTGTCAAAAGCCCAAACCCGTGGGTTCTGGCTAGCACACCGGTTCTGCATCAGATGAAGCTTTAATAGTCTCGGAACAGAAAGCAAAAACATCAGTTAATACAAAATACAAGAACTGTCAAAATAATGTTTATTAAAAAGAAAAAACCAACCACGAAGTTTTTGCAAAAAAAAAGTTTTTATGATTCATGCAAAGGTTGAATTCATTAAAAACTTCAATGAGTAGGTACGAAAAAGAATCGTTTTTATGGGAACCCCTCATAACATGATGGCTGTTAAAATCTACAAGGATGATATATGGAGGGGAGATACTGTTTAAAATTGAGTTGAGGTCGGGGATACAAGAAGGAGTTATGGCTGAGATATAGATGGATAAAATTGTAATGTCTATAACTTTTATAGCTACAGCATTCATATTCTCCTGTATAGGATGGAGGATATATTTACGAGATGGATAAGTTCAGATTTCTCCATTTGTGTTTTTACTATCCGTATATGTATTTATTTACAAATTTATTTCTGAATATACGTGTATGTATCTATATATTTACTTATTTATGTACCTATTTATACTTACATATATATAAATATACATTTTATGGCACATTTATTAGCTATAATTTTTATAGTCTTCATTTAGCACCTACCATCTACTTTTCACCATAACAAGGGTTGACTGGTAGAGAATGCCTTTAGGCATTAAGTCCGTAGTAGCAATGAAGTTTAAATAAATAAATAAACGAACAAACAAATAAATAAATAAGGACGACACAAAATACTTGAAAAGCTTTAACACTAGCTAACAAATTTTAAATGAAAACACGTGTGACCACCTGACAGCAGAATGAAAAAAAAAATTTTAACGAGCGCGAAAATACGATGCTTTCTATCACTTTGCTCTTAAAACGGTGGGAATGGTGTGAAACTACGTTGATGTATTCAAAGATAATCTACTTAAGCACATAATATGTAAACGGAGCGTCCGCTAGCTTATCCTTTGTGCTTTTTTAAGTACTGTACGTATGTGCCCCGCGTACGAATGGTGCCTACCTTCCCCTAATAAAGAAAATCTGAGTTTGACTTTTGACTTTGATAAATAATATTATTTATCAAAAGTCAAAAGTCAACTCAGATTTTCCATGTAAACAATTCAGTTTCAATTTATATATGAAATTTTATAGTATGATAAACTATAATTAAACTAGTATTACAGACATCGAAATCAAAAGATTTTGATATCCATACAATCTGATTCACAAAATAAGCAACGATTTCAATAACACAAAATAAGCCTTGAGGAAATCCAACCTAATTGATTTACCTTTAAATTCAAATGAAATTAAATTCAATTGAATTGATCTAATTATGCCTATCTGCAATTCAAGTGGCCCCACTACGATAAAAGGCAAACCGATTACTAGATACGGTTTACGTAATTCTCGTAATAATTAGGGGCCAGGTTCTATTTAAAATCTCTTTGAATAAATTAAACAGAATTCAAAACAGATTGAAAAAATATAAATACATTGTCATTGTATTCAAAAAATATTTTTTTTTCGTGTGTTTCGTCTGGTGAGTGAGGTAACCAGACTACATTGTTTTAATCTAGCTTGTGCCTGCGTTTTCGTCTGCGCAGGATTAATCGTACCTTATATTCTTTTCCGAGGTCATATATATCTTTATAACAAAATTCATCAAAAATTATTTCCGCAGTTTAGACGTCAAGGCGTAACAGACAGACAGATTTTCTTTGGGACAGACTCTTGTATTTTTAGAAATTATTTAATATAACCTTTATGTTATTCTGATTTATAAGCTATATTAATGTAAAGTTTTATTAAAAACCAATCAATAAATGTTTTAATCTTCTCGAAGAAAAAAGTATCCTGAATCACTTATCAAAATTCAAAAAATGCTGGGTTGAATTATGAACGCATAAACGTATTACAATATCACCGTAAAGCTAAAAATTATTTATAATTCCGTTTTAATTCACATTATGTATACAAAGCCCACGGAAAAAGATGCTAAGTTAAACAGAACAATTTTCCATTCCATTTACGTAGAATGGAAAATGAAACTGTTGATGGATGATGTTATGCTTTCAACCTGGAAACTAAATACAGCTTCGTAATCTTATGAACTCAACACAAACTAGTTGCAAACAAATAGAGTAATCGTTGTTTTAAACTCTTGGTAGCAACAATTAAATTATGCTTGAGATTAGCAATAGTAATGAATTTAATACAATGTTTAAAGTGAAAGGAAATTAATTCGTATTAAGGTATACCGGACGTCTTCATTGGGACATTATACCGAGCATAGCCAGCTCCAAGGTTCTCTGAACAAATTCGAGCTTCCACATACGGCCAGTAGTGAAGGATCACGTTTCCGTTCCACAGGCCATTGCTGGTAACACACATTGATTGAAGTCCGTACATTATTCAAGGATAATCGAAATATTTAAAATAAAGAAAAAAAAAACAAGAGTCTACCGAAGCATAACGTACTTTTATTGATTAGGTTTTTTTTTAATATTTGAAAAATTTGCTTACATATATTCTGCGTAGCATATATATATATATATATAAAGATACATAAATAAAGAAAGGTTGAAAGAAATTTTAAAAATTTTCTAATAAGTCTTGCGCTTTATAGAAAGAACAAATAAGCTGTCTTTAATTTTTTATAAAAGTACAATATCAATTCAGAGTAAGCATTTGCGAATGCTGAGTTATATGCATGCGGCCCTGACCAGAGGCCGGTTCACTGAGAGCCGTTATCTTAGAGCGCAACAGTAGCAATGTGTTTTCCCATAAACGTGTTTGTTCCTCGACAATACCTTGGCGGGAGCTAATCGCTGATTGTTCCTAAAACATATGTTAAATATGGTTAACAACATATGTAAAATATACAAAGGGTGCCCAAGGTAAAATCCAAAAACGTGTTGTATGTACACTATTAAGAAATCAAAAGTGTGGATAATAAAATATAGTCGAATGATAATGATACGATAAATTAAATCCGAAGTCGGCTGGAGGGTATGATACTTATCGTGGTTATATTTTTCTTATTTTTAATACAAATTTTTAATCTATAGAAAAGCCTGGTTGGTAGAACAGGTTGTTTACAACATAATTACGTCGGGTAATCTGATAAAGACTTTCTTTGTCATTCTTCTTTGTATCTCGGTAGCTTTAAAAGATACACTGCTCCCTGAAAGGGTAATAGGATTCTATGGGACTCTTAGGGGTACCATAGAATCCCGGTCTTCCTGAAACTCCCTCAGGCAACCACCAGCCATTTACTTCGCCGGGGCTTCGACATCTAATACTTTTCTGCAGTGAGTCTAAGTTCTTCTGTAATTTAAGAGCTAGGCTCTTGTCGGTGGAACATCCTAGTAGTTCAGCTGTGTAAACCTACCATCTTTTCTTGTTCATAGCCCTTTCCTTTACTTCCTATAGCTAACCTCATATATTTATTTTCTTCTTTATTTGAGATATATAGCCTATCGTCGGTCTCATGACGTTATTAATATATTTATGAGGCTAAGTACATAGCAAAAAACTATAGGTTCCCTAACTCTACACCGTTATCCCAAGTTTCTTTAGTAGACGATCGACAACCTTTTTGGTTTCCTTATATAATAAACAGGGCCTATACTTTAGACTTGCTATATATATCTGTGACCACTAGAGTAGTTTATAGAGTTTAAATGCTCAAATAATTATTATGTGTAGCATTAGCATTTTGGTTCCATTATGTTTTAAATCGATTTTGATATAAAATAATTCCAAGTATTATCTTAATTTAGTTATATTGTTGTTGTCAATAAAAGAAAATATGTTATTACTCACCTCTTCCAAATTTTTAACAATTTCCTCTAAACCACGAACTTTCTTTTTTAAAATCTCAATTTTTGATGGCTTACGAGGAGATTGCATCGAGTTCTTCATTTCAAACATTACATCCTGCTGTAGGCTTTCAGCTTTTGTGATCTTTTGCCTCAAATTTTTCCATTCCATTTCCTTGCTATTTAACTTGTCGCTTAACTCTTTCACTTCATTTTTCAAAGGTTCCATTTGAGATGTAATATTAATTGATGTTGCTTCATATATCCTTTTCTTTTGCTCATATTGTTGTTGTATTACTTGATACTTCTCTTTTATTGGCTTAATTTTGTCAACAAGTGGTTGTATTTCTAACCGCACTTGGGATAGCTCTTGAGCTGTTTGAGCAACAATCTAGAATAATAAATAATATGTTGTAAACTGCAACCCCTACCAAGTCAACTAGCGTACTACGTATACAAACAGTTAGCGTAGCTCCAAGCAAGTCATAAACGTGGTCCAATATAGACGGCCACAGGGAGAGGCCATCTCAAGCCCTGTAAAGGCCTCCTAAAGGCCAACAGTGAACGATAAAGAAAAGCAGCAAGTCATTCGTTTATCGGCATTCGTTACAGTTACAGCTCTATTTAATTACTGTCGGCCAACTCACTTGTACATAAGTTATCAGAATAATAGACTAATAATCCAATTGAGTTATTTCGTTTTACTTGAAGTGTTAAGTGTGTGTTAACTTTGTGAAAGTTATTGAAAAATCTTGCTAATTATAAAGTTGTTTATGTAAAGGTGGTTTGTTATTTTTTTCAATTGTTTCCACATCTCGTCCTAAGTTATGGTGGTAGGGCCACGCAGCAGCCTCGGCTGTTGCACGAATGGCAGGCCCGTCAGGGTAAGTACCACGACCACACAAAAGACCAGCGGAAGTATGACAAATACTTTTGCGTTTCGTCTGGTGAGTTAGGTAGCCGGAGTCCAATTTTCAAAAGGTTGTCAACGCATCTGTTACCCTCGGGTGTTGCAGATGTCCATGGGCGGTGGTATTCACTTAACATCAAGTGAACCGTCTGCCCGTTTGACAATTTTTCGCATAAAAAACGCATATTTTAATAGTGATTTAAATTTAAGAAGATAAACGCCGTGTTTGAAAAGAATGCTTCGATTTTTAAAAGAATCTGTTATAAGAGATGAATACCAAAACCACCTAAAATTAACCCGCTGATATTTTTCTTGTAATACACGACTGAACTAGACACTTCTTAACTTACCTGCGATAAATCATGAAAAGACTTTTTTGTCATCTCTGAGGTTTTAGTTGAAGTTTTCTCTAACAAATCATCATCCTCTATTTTCATCTTTTTATGATTTACTAAGGCCATTTCAATCGTTGGATCTGCTACATTTAGAATATGCAAAGTTCTTGACAAAATTCCAGCTTCAACCTATAAACAGATTAGTAGTAATAATAAAAAAATATAAAAAATTTTAATCTTCATTAATAAATTTATATATTACCCACCTTGAATGTAGACAAGTTTGCTCTTTGCCTTTTGTACAATGTGCTCTTTGTACGTAATGAACTCACATATTGTTTTAATTCCTCGCCTCTTAAAACCATATCGCCCAGGAGTTGTTTCACCTTTAAATGAAGATGTTTAAGTTTCTCCAATTTATATGATGAATTGCGATCAGATTGTATTTTTTCTCACAATTATACAAAGAAAATAAATTCTTTATTTTTATCCGTATAGAGAAGAAAGCACTATTGTACAATTCCTCTCTACTCCACATAGATATTATCATATCATGTCATATCATAGAATGTGTCACCAACTAAAGTGCAAGAGAGGAAATTATGATTCCCTGAAACTAAACCTATTGATTCGAAAGTCAATACAGGAATTTTGTAAATTTTATCATCGTGCATACCAAAAGGTGCAAAAAATGTTGTGTTTTGTTGCTTCAATATTCTCACAATGCAATGCATACTGGCAAGCAAAACGTATTTTTAATAAAAAATATTAAAAAGATATCCTATTAACGATAGCAATACTTATTTATAGAAATATATTAAAGTAAAGTACCATATAGTTAGTTATTATTAATCACATACTTTGTGATAATATTAACATTTACCTTCTTTTATGCGAGAAGGTGGCATGAACTAGCGGTTCACCTGATGTTAAGTCACAACCGCCGCCCATGGACATTTGCAACATCCGTAGGGTTGCAGATGCGTTGCCAACATTTAATAAAGTGGACTCCGGTTACCTCACTCACCAGGAGAAACGCAGCAGTATAAGAGATCGTAGTACCTCCCACGGACTGTACTACCCATTCTTGCAACAAAGAAGAATTTGGTGTGGCCCCTTCCACATACATACCAATTAATGTTAAAACATATAAGAACCATTACGAACGTTTTAGTTTTATTTTAACCTTACTACTCAATGTTATTACTTTAACTAAACGGTTAATGCACCTATAGTCCATTGTAGTAAAATCTCTCGATAGGTAGAGCAAATTGTTATTAAAACTTATGTACATTAAAATTGTAAATATGTAAACATTTTAAGACAATATTTATTAATATCGCTTTTAGATATTAAAACCTGTATTACGAATAAATATTTATTCGTACACCAATCTCAAAACATTATCGCAGCTGAATCGCTAGACGGTTTGACATAATAACCGATAAATCTAAATGGAAAAAATATCTTCAATCAATAGGGATCAGTTGATGGGAAAATCAGGCGTCTCTCTAAAAAGGAAGAGGAATACTTATCTTCATTTTTAGGCTATTTGAAAAAAATAAGTTTCTAAATGTATGTTAAAATTCTCATTTTAACACACAGTTTTAAAGTGACCGCCTAATAAACTAAGAAGAGCAAAATAACTCATAAATATTGTTAATTTACTAGATATAGTTATTAATATATTGTTAATCAAGTAACAGAATCATTATACGAAAGAAATTGGAACACAATTACTTGCGCTTGCAAATCTGCCAAGATAGCCTCTTGTTCCTTGAGGGTCACTGTCAACTCATTGACGCGTTCCGCGCTGGCTTCTTTATTTCTCTTGATGACGGCAGCTTGTTGGCGGAATGGTGCTAGCTTATCATCTTGCGGTCCAGTTGCTGCTAAGCGACGCTGTACCAATTGCTCGATTTCACCGTTCACTGTTGATATCTGTTATTTATAAAGAAAACCTTTTTCATTCAAGCTTCGTAGTTTTATAAAAATTGCCTGCCATCCACCAAATGCCAAATAAACTTATGAGTGCAAGGTAAAGTTTAAGTAATGAAATCGCTTAATAGTTACCTTGTCTTGCACGACAATCAAGTCTGAGCGAGTCGGATGCTGTTCCGTAGCAATGTTTTGCATTACATTGAGCTCTTTCTGCAACTGAGCACTTTCCTGTGGTAACTTTTCCTTTACGAGATAAGTATTGAGCTAAAAATATAATAATTGTTCATTCCCACTCATTTATAGAATGGCATCTGAAAAAACGATTCTAATGTATTACCTGTATCTCTTCTTGTAAACGCTTAAAAACTTCGTTTCCCGATTTTGGTATTGCTCTCTGTCCATGTATAATGTTTAAGAACCTCTTTAACTGATCAGCTGCCACTTTCAATTGCGACTGCTGCATCTCAAACTGTAAATAGTTTCGATTTACTCAAGTCGTATGTAAATACTTGTTCTTTATATTATGCTAATAAAAAATAACTAAAAGCAATTAATACATCTCCTCTGTACCTGATTTTCCAATTCTTTGGTTCTCTCTTGCTGCAACCTTAGGGCCTTGCTTACGCTCAATAAATCTTCTTTATTACTTACGTCGATAAGATTAACTTGAACGTTTTCTAATCTTTTTATGACTTAAATAATAAGGAAGATATATTAATTTATAGGCATATATCATAAGATGTAGGTACATTACTTACTACACATTACTAGGTAAATGAGGGCCTAAATTTTGCTAAAAAAATAATCAAGTTGTGATCTTTTTTCGCGGGTATAAATTCTACACTTATGCGCAACAACCAGTTATTTTTTAACGAACTGTTTGCGTAGATACTCTTAAGCTACTCGTCACTTTTCAAAAAGTATGTACTGTTGAGACAATTGTGAGCAATATATTCGGATTTTGATAGTCTGTAGTATTGAGTTATTGTATTTAAAGGAAAAGGTAACTTATTGACATATAAATTATAGAAAAATAAGTAAGTTACGCAAATGAAGCTAACAAGATTACTAATAGTAAGGTACTTAAATTTATTAATGAAATCATAGCTGGCACAAATTAAAACTCTGTTACCTATGTCCCTTTCGACTGCCATTTCCTTGATATCATTAATCATTTCTGTTGAATTTTCTTTCTCCAAAAGTCTGGTTCTTTTATGCACATCCTTAAATTCATCAATAAGGTTGTGATACAAATCTAAAAGATCCTGAATTGTATTATTCCGGGCGACATCGGAGGGGATATCCGGTATTTTCAGATATCTAAAATTTTATTTATAAAATTTTATTGTATAAACGGTAAGTTTTAAACTTCTTTTCAAAAGAGAGAAAATTGTTCACCATACTTACTTTGCGAGATACGCAGTTTTTTTTACTTGCTCCTTGTTACTTAGTAACCAGTGCATAACATGATGAATAGTCCTGGAATCGCCGGCGAGTAATTTCGCCCTAAATAGTGACGGTTCCACTGTAGCTGGTGGGCGATATTTAATACTTCCTAACATTTCTAAAAGGCGTACGGATATAGTCTCTGTGTCATCTTCCCGTACATCTAGCTAAATAAGCATGAAAATAGTATTTAAGAAAAGTTTGATTTAGGAACACAACACAACCCTAAATCAGATAACAAAAGCGTTAAAAAGTTATAGCAATAATACGGTTTTTGCATAAAATTTCGATAAAGAAACATCATCCGGCACTATAAAACCATTAAAGTTGTACCATTTAAGTTGAAGATAGATACTACCAATGATATTATATACAAATAAGATGATATTAACCACAAGTAATTATAAACAATAATTAAAAGTACCTATATTAAAACATCATTGAGTAGTACCTTCTATAATCCTATCATTTTTATATAACCACATACCTTACCTAACAAAAGGAGCACGCTCATTTTGTATATTAATATTTTTATGGCTATTGTTAACAATTACAAACAAAATAATGTACCCAATTTTTGAAAATTGAAAAGGTTAATATATAAATCATCCCTACCTTTTCTCCAGCCTTAAAATGCACTAATAAGTCCACAAGAAGCTGTAGCAACTGTTTTTCATCCAAAGCATCAAACTTTATCAAATCATAGTTTCTGCTTAAAGTTGTATTTACTTCCTTTACTATCAATTTCATTTGTTCCGTCATTTTATTTCGCTAAATACTCCCAAATTGTGGAATTTTTTTCTGGTTAAAAATTGATACAATCAATGTCCTAAGATATAACACTATTGTGTACACAGGCAGTTTCCACGGAAACCAATTTGCCATATGAAAATATTTAGAAATAAAAATGTAGCGTGTGTATGTGAGTTTTGTGTTTGTGGTAAGCGTAACGTTTATTTCCTCCCAAGAAGCTATACAATACTTTTGAGGCATTTTCGAGCCGCTGCATTAATGCAAGCCGGTTGTCTGTTGCGGCACATATACATACCGGGTACGTTCATATAACATAGCATTTTTGTACGAGTAGTCTCATATTTAGAGCATCGTAGCGTCAAATATGACCTAGACTTGAAAATTGTCATATTTAGAGCATCGTAGCGTCAAATATGACCTAGACTTGAAAATTGTTATGGCACCTACGTGGATTTATATACTTCTACGAACTAAGACACCGTACAGATCGAGATTTACTATTCATGTAACATATTAAAATGTATATTTTATGTAAGACACAAAATAAGTCAAGCTAGCAATAGTTTCATGTGTTTGTTTTTGAAAATTAAAAACTTTATTTAATTTACTATTGTGTAAATGTCAAGAGAGCTGAATATGTAATTTTAGCTGTAAATATTATATAATTAAACTGTATGACATTTTCTTTAATAATATGCTATGTTGGTAGACGTGAAAATTTTTTTTTCGATTTATCTATTAAACTCACGTTTAAATCTAATATTGACTGTAAATTAGCACTAAAATTAAAAAAAATAATGCTTAATTGTTGTTGTATCAAAAATTATACGAATAATTCGAAAAACGCCTTTATTTTTTCTTATCGAAGCGCTCGTGATTTCTTGTATGTTTTGTCTTTAGCTGGTGAAAAATACTATTAACAAGTAATTTAGTTTATAAAAATGTTTTTTTTTTTTGCTCCGAAGTGCCTTGTTCCGTTGTATTTTTTGTCAAAGCAGTGAAAATACTATTAAACAAAAAGGTAATTCGAGTTTTTATCGATGTATTAGATAAGGTATATGAAATAAATAAAAAACATTTATCTTTTAGTATTTTTGCCAAATGATAGTACGCAAATTAATAGGGATAAATAAGAAACTTTTCTTTTGGAATAAATTATATTTCTATTATATTATAATACAATTGCAGCTACTCGTATCATATTGTTGTAATCGTCAAATCTCAACATGTTCAATACGCTTATAATGTACAGTTTGTGCTTCTACGCAAATAGTTCTTCACTTCACAAACGACGATCTTATCAATTCCACACAAATGTCCGTTCACAGCCTTTTCGTCAATTACAATCAAATATGAGACTTATGAGACTTGATAATGATACGGATTTTAGCAGCAACAAAAATTTATTACGAATAAACAATTGCACCTACATGGTAATACACCCAGCATCCTTCTAAGTTAACATAAAACGACTCTTGCCTCATCGCCGTGTATTAGGTGACGCGAATCTCACTGGCATATGTGTCTATCTAGCACCAATGGGGCGAGGGATAGTTTCCAGAACGTCTCTATTAAAAAACCCAATACTCCTAATAGACGTCCATAACGTAAATCTTTGGTAATTCTGTGATGCATTAAAATGTTTCATATTACGCTGCTAATAAAACTCAATTACAAATGACTGGAATACGGAAGCGTTGGATGACTGAATATAGTGTTGCTTCCTCCCCCCATTCAATAACCTAAGTTTAATAAATTGAATAAAATATTCATTGTTAATCTGACAGGAGGCAATGGTGTACGTTGCAAAATTCTCTTTTATATCAGTGTCGTATTATTTAACGAACGCTATCCTACTTAGTCTATGGCATGCACCATTACGCTTTCTTAAGAAACCCTGAATTTTTACATTCTACTGGAAAAAAGATTTGTTGGAACATCGGGTACAGATTATGAAAATAATAAAGGCTATATAAATACAAAAAATGGACAAACACATTAATAATAATCTATCTCGCAGTGTAATTAAACAAAATTGTAAGTAATATACTCATTTTCATTGCCATTATTGCTAATTCTCATTTATGAACATAAATAATTTGTACTCTTCTAAATTAATGAAATGTTATATTATTTATTTACAAACTTTAGTAACTACATTGATTAAATTAACCAGTTGATGATTTTTTGATGAAAATTTTAAAGCGAATAATATTCGCCATCAAGGCAACAATTTACCTAAATTAAGCTTTACTGACATATCATATGGTATACAACCTTTTTCTTAAGACTGCCACATAAAATTATATAAACAAAATTAAGTATTTAAGAAATGAATACTGGTTTATCTCAGATGTGATGTTAATTGTTCCATTTACATAGCACAAAAGAATCAATAACAACGAAGTGCATGCTTGGTCCTCATGACGTTTCTCTCTTTGCTTTAAATATTTATGAAATACTGCGTTTGTTATAGGAATTTTAAGAGAGAAAACAACAAAATGCCATTCTTCGAGTAGAAGCGATGCCCGGCTTGCAGAACAATTAGTACAGATACTTCTTTATATTCAGTCGTTATAAATGCACGAATGCAAACCTCTACTTACGAAAATCGGCTACAAAAAAAACAATGTCAAAAGATAAACGTAAAATAAAACAATACAATCAAAATAACAATTTCAAAAGGTAAAAAAACCATCGATATGATGAACATTTGAAAACTACTTAAATCTAGTGATAGGTACCACATACAAAAACCCCTCATTAAATCGAGTCTACATCTAAATCACAAATAACGAAATAATTAAGAGCTTTGCGCCTAGCACCGGCCCTGAGCACCGGCTGATTATTAACGTAGTAGTAGCCGAGAGTTGGGTCAAACCGGACTTGTGTCGACTTGACGAGAACGATTATTTACAGTAGGCCCCCCTTCCGGCCGAAGAGAAGGGAGCTGAGGGTACCCAGGGGGGTCATGGACTGGGCGGGGGCACACGGTGCAGGGGCCGATCCCACCGTGCCGAGGTCGGTGCGGGGCCGCGGCGCCCGCACCCGCCCCCTCCGCCCGCCCACACCCGCCGCGCTCATGCTCTCCAAGGGGCTGGACGTTTCGAGCGCCCCCTCGCCCGGATGTGCGGGAACCCCGAGCGGCGTCTCAGCCGGGCCGCATCGCTCCGGCGCCGAGGCGGGCGACCGCAGCGTCCTCTTCAGGCAGGTGAGCTGCTCCATCGGACTGCGGTGCACGAGTCCCGTGTACAGCGAGCCGGGCGTCTGGAGCGCCAGCGGGGCGGGGGAGCCGTCTGCGGCGGGCGAGATTAGGTAGCGGCGGCGCAGGATCGAGGTGCCGCTTGCGATGAGCGCGTGGAGGGAGGGCGGCGCGTCGCCGGGCCGCGGCGTCGACGGCGGCGTGGAGTCGGGCGAGCCGAGCAGCGGGCTATTGGCCGGCGTGGCGGTGGGCGTGAAGTGCGGCCGCGAGGGCGGCGCGCAGAAGGACTCGCGCCGCGACAGCACCGGCGAGACGGCCGCCGACGACCGCCTCGACGTCAGGCGGGAGCTCCACGCGGTGCCGAGCACGCTGCTCGACAGGCTGCTCATGCCGCTGCTGCACACGCTGCTCACGCTGCTGCCGGCGAGGCTCCCGTCGTTCGGATGCAGCACCGTACTGTCGCAACGAAGGGAACTGCATAAACTAATCGCGCGTACGAATTTGTAATGGGTTAGTTGCAATAAAATTTTACCTGTTTGTGAATGTGTACACGTGGCTAGAGTGCGGCAAACGAGGCATATCATCGTCCTCTTCCACGTCGGACAATCGGTATAACCTATTGCCGAGCCCGGTGGCTGATCTAGAGCCTCTAACGCCGACGCCCTCTTGATCTTCTAATAAACCTAATGGAAACGGTTTATCGTAAATGCGTTAGGAAATTAACATTAAGCAGATAAGAATTAAAAAAAAAGGTTTATGCATTCACAGCTACCTGACATAGTGGGCTTAGCAAGTTGAGCCCAAGTATGCAGGGTAAGGGAGCCTTCCATAGGCTTGACGATCTGCAATTTGTGTGGCGCGCGAAACCGTGCGAATCCACCGGCCGCGCCAGCGCCCCATACTGCGCTCTCTTCACTGATGTCCCGCTCTACAAAATTATCAGTGTAAACAGAATAATTCTTTTAAAACAGATATCAATGTTTGCAAACGACTAAGAATATTATCTATAACATTGATTATTAATTGTTAAGTCAATATTATATACACTACACTTCAGATAACATTACATTCTACAGAAGTTTAGTGTGTCCATTGTTGCAGTGCTAAAAGTACTAAAGGCAAGAACTTAATAAAGAGGAATATCTTCATATTCAAATCCAATTATAATATTTACGAATATCCATCATGACATCATAATCATCAAAGCAGGCCTTAACATGAATTACTTATTAATTGAAAGAGTGTTATGTAAGTTATAGGCCCTATTTTTAATGTCTAAACATGTATATGTTTGGATAATGAACTAAAGAACTGAAAAACTCTGAGTCTTTATAATCATATTATTTTTCACTACTTCTCATTAAGCTATTTTACAATTTCTTATTTTCTCTATTATTTACTGGTAGGGAACACCTAATGGTGTTAAGTCCGCCATTGTACGCTTTTTGGAAAAAGTTTTCAAATAAATAAATACCGTGAACTGTGGCAACTTTACCATAATTTTTGACATTTTAGCAAACTATTCCAATATAGATGCAGTTTTTTTATGTTTTTATTGATTTAACTCGTAAAGCTGTCGCTTATTTATTCATTAAACCATTAAATTCATCTAAATCGGCCATAGAATCGTTAAAATATATTTAATTATGAGCTAGGTAAAATTGACTCATTTTTGGCAACTTTACCTAGTCTGCAGTTTATATGAAATAAGCATATAGAAGGATAGGCGACGCAATGTTAACATTGTTTCTAAAGCTAAATTGACGATACTGCAGTTAAGGAAGCTCCTTAATGTTTATTTAAGCACTAGCAACACTTTGGGAAAGTTGCCCCAAGATTTTTGTTTTTTTCATAGAAACAAGCCGATGTCACCAGGGCTGTCAATTCACTAAGTTATAAAATAAAACAATTATCTCATATTTTTTTTTCGTGAACCAGTCAAAAAATACGAAGGAATAGAACCAATAGCTTTTAGTGCGATATAGCGTGCTCCTTCCAGCCCATCTTTACTTTTCTGCCCGTGCTTTTGTAATATTTTGTACTGATCTTAGTGTCAATGTTTTTTATGATGGTCTAAAGAATGTTTGATCCACCAATCGCCGGGAACCCTATCGTCGAATACATATATTTTGTTATTTTTCTTCAGGTATACTGCCAACTTAAAGTCCAACTGTGATAAGGGACATCAAAAGTCGCCCGCCGCAATAAATACATTAATAAATTTTTGCTCTTCTTCTTGATTTAAACGGAAACGGGGGCCAGGTTTATTCGAGTGAAGATTTTTTACTCTCTTTTCAATGTTTCGTCTGTGTATTCCTGACTGCTTCTTAGCCTCATAAGATGTTGTATTTTTGATGTTGATGATAGGTTAACAGCTAATAAAAGCATTTCTTCAGAGTAGTTTTTGTAACTACGCGCTCCCAAACGTCTTCTGTATCTTTTTGTGGTGCATTTTCTTGGAGGCATCATGAAGAGATCTGTATTAGGTTCAAATATAGTTATAGAAAGTTTTAGACAGTTATTTATAACGCTATAATATAAATGTTTTTGCGGAGGTAGCGTGTAATCTATTCCATATTATCACGTGTGAAACAATTACTAGTCAATTTTAAAAGGATCTATAAAGATAAAAACAAGCAAAATTCAAAAAACACGCTAACTGCATAGTTGACAGCCCTAGTCGTAGGTAAAGTTGTCCCCAAGCTAGGCGAGGTAATTTGACCTAACCTCGAGCATCATTACTACCTCTCATAACTAAGGAAATAAAAGTTTTAATAGATTGATTCATTGAAATGCACTCCTATAAGAATATACTCCACACAATTTACCATAAGTCACTTATATGCACTTCAATTTTCTGTATTAAAAACCAATTTGCCTTCGTTACCGCTGCGAGCACAATTGACCATATAGAATGAAAACTCGCACTACTTGATAATTAACGAAGTTGCCTGCATGAAAAACTTTTTGTGATACCACAATTTATCATAAAATCTACTAATACGGCAAAATTCGTACCTATTACAGAAGATAAGTAAATATTCCATATTATGTAGTACAAGGTATGCTTAGGTAAAGTTGCTCGAAAAAAGTAAAGATGCCACAGTTGACGGTAAGTGTATAAAACTAACTATGTATAAGATCTTGGTGTGACAAAATATTGACAAACATTCCGAAATAATCTATCTATCTCTTGAAGTAAAATAAACTAATGATAAAGAAGTGCTTAAACATCGAGAGTTACACTGCTAAGATTCTAAAAGAAATTGAAGGGTGCTTGAGAACTGAGAACTGTTCACTAAGGGTATGAACTTCAGACAATAGGTTTTTTAACCGATTGTCGAAAAACAATAATCTTTTTGTAGTATTGACCATTGTAAAAGTTTGCCCTTCATGTCTAGTCAACTTTAGGATTATCTAGAGAAACTGATATAAGTGTACAGTTATACTGTATACAGCGTGTCGTTACCACCGCGACAATAAATGAACAAACATATAGAGGATAACTTTTTAAGATTGTATTAAACATTTACATTCTTTAAACATCAATATTAACCCAGTTATTAAATTTTCCAAAACAAACAATTTTAAAACACCCTTACGTCTAAAACTGTAACGTAAAGTTCATTTGTAAAGGTCACAAAGCATATGAATGGGTTGAATGAATTTAAAAGAGACAAAACATACTGTTAGAAGGAGAGGCTTGTAATGCGACGCTGGGGCGCGAGTTGTATAGGATGATACAAATTTTGTTTCTTTTTTACTTAATTAGTTTGTTTGAAAAATATTTTTTTTAAATTATGGATTTTGTTTAACGTTAATATTTATGATTATTGGCAAGAAACGTTATACGTGTGTTCATTTATTGTCGCGATGGTAACAACACGCTGTATAATGGGTAATAAAAATATATTCAATTCAATATTCAAAAAAATTGTAAACATATGTATGAAATCATTGTTTATAAGGCTATGTACAGAAATAAATTAAATTTTTCTCAACAGTAGGGGTTACATAGTGACAACTTGATAGGTATATTATTTGCAAAAGGAGAACAGAGATTTTGCTCAATGTACGGGCGGTGAAGGAAGCATATTTTCGAAATAAGTACAAAAAATATATCGAACATAATTATGTGTCCCCCAATCCGCAGTGGGGTCGCATGGTGGGCTATGTCCTAATAGCCTCTGTGCAGAGGAGCCTTTGCCCAGCAGTAGGATCAGTATTGGCTGGCTCTGAACTTTGCGAAGAGACTATCGGTGGGCAATATGTGGCGCACCTGTGTGTCTCCGGTGTCGCAGCACGTGCGAGGCGGCGAGCGAGGCGCGGCGCGAGTTGATCTCCTGCGGCGTGAGGCGGCGCAGGGCTGCCGCCAGCTCGGCCGCACCGGGGGCGCCCGGTACTCCCACGGCCGGGCCCCCGCTGCAATAACGGACAAATCGCGTGAATAAAACCGTTTTTTACGGATTTATCGCGTTTATTTATTACGATCCCGACGTTTCGAGTTCTATACAGCGTCCATGTTCAGACCATAAAAAAAATCCTTAGATATCTATTAAGTGATCCTATAACAATTCGGGCATCTGCGAGGCAGGAATCTGTACGCTTCTGTTTACCCTAGTGTCCCCTTCAATTTGTAGGTACAAATACATCACTATCACACATAATCAGATGGAATGGTATTCAAACTATACTGTTTAAATTGTATTCACAAGCGGTACACGCTGGTGTATTAAACGTCAGTGATCCGATCGATATACGGCAAGTGCTTGAGATGATATCTATCTCATCCATAATTGAACATGATGAAAGAAACATGAACAAAAGAGATTTAAGTGTACTCACGGATAGAGGTCCTCAGATTCGGCGTCAGATGAATCGTCGAGGAAGGAGTCGGCGGAGGGCGGTTTCAGCGGTGGCTTGCCAAGTGCCGCGGCCAGCGGAGCGTCCGCTACGTCGGATCCCGCCAGCGAGGCGGACGCGCCCGACCATCGCGACGCGCACTGCACCGTCTCGAACACTTTCTGCATGCTCGAACTGTAACACACGACGGTTTAGATCTGTAGAGAATATTATAATAGTGTGTTTTTGTGCAACATAGTGTTTTTTTTTTTAATATAATAAACTTTTATACCGGTTCAACCAAGAAGTATGACAAAAAGGAAAAAATCTTAACAGACACGAAGACCTCTTAAAATTCGCCCGGTTTCTGAAACACTGATCATGGTAGAAATTAACCACTAAGCTGTCAAATGGCTTTTCAAGTCATTTGAGTTGCCAAAAGGTTGGTTAAACTCTTTGAACTGATCATTCTGAACATTAAGAAAATTCTATAGAATATAGAATGTAGTATCAGAATGATACTACATTCTAATACAGTTTATGCAGTGTGTATATTAGCCCAACAATAGGACATTTAAGTAGGTAATGATGGTAAAAGTAGTCAAATAGATTGTGCAGCACATTTAAAACATAACATGCCAAAGCGAATACCAAAGTCGAATCGAAAGAAATTATATTACACGGGCGGTATCGCATTGTGTACTGGAAAAACTAAGGGAGTAGGGGGGAAGGAGAATAGCTTACTTCGTTATTGTCGGAGACGATATAAGACTTATATCACATGGCAGGGACGATGCATCCCTCGAGACAATGCTCAGGAGCTAGGAGTGGACTTCCTTATTGAAGTTGTGTGCATGTGTGTATATTTGTGTATGTGGAAATCGAAACAATGCTCTCGAGGTGGGAGAAGGCTATCTTCTTGAAGGTGTGCGCATGTGTTTGAATTTGTGTGCGTGAAAATCGAGACGATGCTCACGATGCGGGAGAAGAATATATTCTCGAAGGTGTGTGTATGTGTACGTGTATGTGTATCTATATGTGTGTGTGTGTGTGTGTGTGTGTGTGTGTGTGTGTGTGTGTGTGTGTGCTGTGTGTGCGTGCGTGCGTGCGTGCGTGCGTGCGTGCGTGCGTGCGTGCGTGCGTGCGTGCGTGCGTGCGTGCGTGCGTGCGTGCGTGCGTGCGTGCGTGCGTGCGTGCGTGCGTGCGTGCGTGCGTGTGTGTGTAAGTGAAAAGAGAACTGACTGCGCGAGCGGGTCGCCGATGCCGGAGTCGAGGCTGAGCTCCGAGTGGACGGAGGCGTGCATCTCGCGGTGCAAGTTGGCCGGCAGCAGGCCCGCGGCGGCCGCCACGCTCGGCATCAGCCCGCGCACCGGCTCGCCGCGCCGCCGCAGCTGGCGCAGCTGCTCCTGCGCCTCGGCCAGGTGCGCCGCCACCTCTGCGTAACGCTCCTGACAAATTAGCCGCACACGTGAAACGGCCGCGTGGAACGAGCGAACACACCCCGATGCGGAACGGTCCGTGTGAGGGAGATGTTGACAAAAGGATCTGTGTTAAATTGTGTACGCACGTGAGTAGTAATACTTGTTAAGCGTAACAAAAGATTTATAACTTAAATAATTGTGTGTGAAAGGGACATTTTCCCTATGGGTCAAGTATGCCCGGGCCTAGGGCGACAAAATTTGGTGGGATTTTTAGGATATTTTTTGTAGTCGCGTCATTCACTCATTCATTCACACAATATCCACAAAATTGTAATAAATCAAGGGGCCATTATGAGTAGGTATCATTTTGCTTTTTTATTCCAATACTTCATTAAATTTTTCGCGCTTTACAGCGGGTAGGGGGGCAGCATCTTGTTTTGGCCTAGGACGACCAACGGATCAAATCCATCACTGAGTGCGATTTATAACGGTTTACTTAAATAATTTTAGTTAATTAAATCATATCGCTTTTTGGCTGTCAAGTTGGTATGCGCATCGTAAAAACTTTACTCTGATATTTTTATCCAAACGCGCCAAAAGAAATACCTATAACTAAAAAAAAATCTTTTGAAATATAGCCTCATAATCACATTCCATATACGTGTAGTGAACTCGCACTGTACGAAATAACATGAACGCTAATTTAATAGCAGACATACCTTGGCGTCGGCCAGTTCAGCTGCAAGTGCATTTTGATTCTCTCGAGTGATTTCTAGAATTCGTAACGTATGTTCGTGTTCGGTTGACAGCTGTCGAAGGAATATATCATTATAAATGACATGTATACATATAAGGTACATTTAAAGTAGGCATAAAGTAATGTATCTTTACATTTACTAGTTATAAGAGCTGTGATACCTCATTGTCCGTCTGCTCGCTTTTAATTCAATAAACTCCAGCAACCTGAGTTCGAACTCCGGTAGCATCACCAATGGAATTTTTGATTTTAGGTGCTGACTTATCACGTACACAGTGGTGAAGGAAAACATCGTGCGGAAACCTGATTTTCGAAATAGAGAAAAATATGTTTCGAAGATGGGTGAAGTCTGCCAATCCACAGTGGGGCTGCATGATGGCCTGTTCTGATACCCTCTGTATAGATGAGGCTTTTGCCCAGCAGTGGGACATGCACCTACAGGCTGTTTCATTACTTTTAAAGTTTTACTAGTAAACATTTACCTGCTGCAAATTGCGCTCAGTGACTATAAGCCTGGAGTTTGACGTGTCGAGTTGATGCTGAAGATCTGCTGCTCGCTGCCTCTCCTCAGCCAGCTCCAAGCTCAGTACGTTCGCTTCGGAGTTCGCACTGGCTGTAGAAACGTCGTGCCTCGTTAATTCGGGTCATTTTGGACAGCAGAATTACACTTAATTATACCTTGCACTATGGTAACTCGTATTTCAATTTGAGAATAGATGGACTATATGTTTAAAGATAAAATGAGGAAAAACAATTATTCAATGTAGATATAATTATTGTAATCCACTTATACCATAAATATTAGTTATTTACAAAATTATCAAACGTTATAATAAAAACTAAAATAAACTTTGCATGACATAGATTAACATATGTGGAAATAAAATAACACATGAGATATTTAAAATACAGCGCAAGTAAAGTAAAGTAACAGCCTATACATGTCCCACTGCTGGGCAAAGGACTCCTATATACAGAGTGTATCAGGGCATAGTCCACCACGCGGCCCCACTGCGGATTGGCGGACTTCACATATCTTCGAAATATTATTTTTTTGTTTTTTTTTTTTATTATTTCGAAAATATGCAGGTTTCCTCACGATGTTTTCCTTCACCGGGGAGCACGTGATCAGTCAGCACTTAAAGTTAAAAACTTCATTGGTGCCGGCACCGGGGATCGAACTCAGGTTGCCCGAGTATATAGAATTAAAAGACGAGCGCCCGGACACTGAGCTATCACGGCTCTTTAAAAACAAAAAAACAGCGCAATTCCTAAAAAATACAGCGCAATTCCTAGAAAATTAGAATATAAACGAGTTTCAACAAGTCAAACGTCATTAGGTTATCGTGTGAAAATCTCTATACGAGTAACCAAAGTTAAATTACAGCTAATTATGGAACGAAACTTATTTTAAGTAATTTCGAACAGCAAAATCGTTAATTATTTCAATTGCATGTTGTAGCGCAAAAGAAAATTAACTATGAAGAAAGTATGGCACGCCATCTAGGTATTGTTGGGACGTCCTTGATACGTATCAGTAAGTACACCGTTTGTTTCTTTGTTTCACAATAGAGTTATGTAAGCGTGTAATAGTACAAAACAGAAAAAATATCTTTGAGAGTCATTTATAAAACAATAGCCATATAAAGATAAAAACATGTGAAAAACAGTTTGCACGCGCAATATTTGGTGCGTGCTTGGTGTTAGTCCACATTTAATTTCATCGACAGCGGGAAACCGCCTTAGGTGGGTCTTTTGTGGTTCTTAATGAACATATAAGTGAATAATAGAATGAGAAATAACGATTTTTTTATATAAATATACTGTAAATACACAAAAGAAATAATTTTAGAAAAATAGGTGGTATGAAATATGTGTGTGTGTGTGACTCTTCCAACGCTTTACGCAAAACACATTAATTTCTGTTTTTTATAGATGCTCTGTCATGAAAATTAAAGAAGTTTGATAATTTAACAGGCTTCAGAGTTTAAAACAAAGCATGTGAGCCGGATACAATTGCAAAGAATTTATTACAATCATATTATAAGCATTTTATCGCACCATCTGTATCCGATAAAGGAATATGCAGTACGTCAATTATAGATGACAAAACATTTACGTTATAATAAACATATAAGTACTTCTTTATCAATATTTAAATATAAAGCTTTGTTCGAATACTTTTCTTTCTTTCCTCTCATCTTTTTCATGTCGTCCTCCATCTTGAATGTATATTTCTTCGTTTATGATGGCATAGGGTTCTTTGAAACAAGTATGGTCTGACAGGGTGCAAGCCTTAGAGAAAACACGCTGCTAGGCCACCTTGTTACACCGAACCCATATTTTCGCGTTTCTTCTATCTTCCTTTAAGATTGATCGTCCTCTGATTCTCCCTTTCATTTGATATCGGAACGCCATTTGTTACAATAAATACCGATAGGCAATCAACACGATCTCAATAACAATAACAGTTATAGTAAAATGTGTTGTTAATAACGATAAGATATTATCTAAGCAGCAAGGTAGAACAGAATAATTCACATGATAGTTTAGTATATTGTCAAAATTCCATGTGAGTAATATTATATTTTAAATAAATTAATAGGTACAAAGAGAACGGTACGAATTAGAACTAGATAACCATAAAGTTACAAATCTAACCCTTAAATAATAAAAAACAATAAAGACTTTTTTAAGAAGCATGAAATCTTCTTGTTATATTCTAATCTGGGCAAGAATCGAAGTTATCTGAAAAATATATTTAATATATCCCAAACACAAATAAGTAAAAATGAAGGCACACATATAACACCTTGTTCGAGAAATATCTATTGAGAATGGTTAAATTTAATTCAAAAGCATAGAATTAGAATAATAATGTTTCGAATTAGAATAAGAATCTATGTTTTCGTAAATACTAACGCCCGGTTTCTGAAACACTGATCATCGTAGATGTCAACTAATCAGCTGTCAATTGGCTTTTCAAATTTCATTTAAGTTGCCAAAAGGATGCTTAAACTCTCTGAATTCACCAGAATGATCTTCTTAATGATCAGAATTATCGATTCAAAGAGTTTAACCATCCTTTTGGCAACTGAAATGACATTTGAAAAGTCATTTGACAGCTGATTAGTTAACATCTACGATGATCAGTGTTTCAGAAACCGGGCGTAAGCCAATTGAATAATTTTCGTCACATCAGTTCACTAGATACCAGACAAATTGAATTGCTGAAACCAGTTTCCAATCAATTACGGTGACTATGTACGATATTAGCCTTAACATGATTTGATTTTTACTGACTGTTTTGGATACACAGAAGATTTTGGAAAACCTATTTACAAAGTAACATATTCACAATACTAGCCAAATCCCACCTACAATTAGGATTTGTTTTTATTTGAGAACGTGGCCAGCGAGCAGGCACTTTAAACCGATGATTTTTAAGTAATTACTGTTTCTTTACACATTTATTGAAACCAGCTTTTAAAGGAGTGGTCTTCATAAAAAAAATAATAAGTTGCAAAAACTCTGAATAACAACAACGTTTTACAACTATACTTAAACGTGTAAGGGGAACAAAACAGAAGGCGAATTGGTCTGAGTCGCAAATAAAAGGTTAGGGATACAAAAAAATCTTACACTCTGAAAATGTGAACAAAATAAACAGGACAAATAATATACTCCACATTACAAGTTACAGTGTTTAAAAAATGAAGGTTATTACGAAGTTTATGCGCGTCGAGTGCAGCGATATCTAGTTTTCCCTTCAACAGTGCAGTCACTCGTTACTATTTGAATTCTGCTGTGTTGTAAACAATTGAGGATCCAAAAAAATAGGCAGAATGAGTTGCAAGACATGTATATAAGACTGCGGTTTGCTGTAACAATTGAGGTAACGAATTAATTAAGCTCACCAAAGTTGCAAGACCTGGATGTAAGACTGCGGGTTGGAGAAAGAATTGAGGTACCGAAAGATTTACATTCTGACGAATTGCAAAACCTACTATATAAGACAGCGGTTTGGACGAACAATAGAGGTTCTGAAAGATCTAAATTCTGCCGAGATGCAAGACCTATATATAAAACCGCGGTTTGGACGAACAAATGGGGTTCCGAAAGATCTAAACTCTGTAGAGTTGCAAGATCTGTCTGTATACAAGACCGTGGTTTGGACGAATTACATGAAAATTAAATAAATGACAATTAAAGATGCGATAGTTGTAAATTCTGCGGAGTTGCACGGCCTTTATAATAATACCGCGGTAGGGGCGAACACAATCGAGGTGAGGAAAGAGGCACTTACAGAGCTGGCTGGCGATGTCCCTGAGCAACTGGCGCTCGGCCAGCTCGGCGGAGTCGGCGCCGGCGGCGAGGCGCGCGGCCTCGTCGCGCAGCGCCCGGTTCTCCCTCTCGAGGGCGCAGGTCCGCTTCCGCAGCGCGAGCGCCGTCGGCGGCTCCTGCTCCTCAGTGGGGCTGCCTTCCTCGGTGTCATTTGTCAGCACCTGCAAGACGCTGCTCACCGAGTGATCCGCCACAGACTATAAATCAAGCCCATTTAAAAAAAGCCTACCGAAGCGAGAAGGCGCCTTAGCGATGCGTATGACGAATATGAAATTGTGAATTTACTATTTATAGTGTGTAATTTAATTTTTATAGTACTCATCTGTGTGCACTTAAGATGAAATATTACAATTTGTAGAAAAATCTTTCGTTCGAATTGTCGTTGTAAAACGATAGTTTTATAATTGTTTGGAAAAGGACATAACTATAGATAGATATGTCAGGCAGGCTGAAATGCGAAAAAACAGTGTAGGTAAAATATGTTAAGATTTTCATCGTGGCAATCAGCTTAGTGGTTAAAGTGCTGGAGCGAATCCCGAAGACGTGGGTTCGATTACTACAGCGGCGAAAATCTTTTCATCGATTTTTACCACATGTTTTAATTGAGAATTTATTACTTGAAAAATTACGGAATAAATAACAAAAACTATTTGTTAACTGAACATATTGATGCATATGATTAGAGGTATTACATTACATACAGTAAGCTTTTATACGATGTAAGTAAACGAAATACTATAATTTTCCTTATCAATTACTATATTTCATTAAGTCCAGAGATTGGAAAGGCGTTTAAATTTAATAGTGATTTTATCTTAACAGCTAAAACTGCAATAACAATACTTTTAAAGCCAGGTAAAGGATTTCCGCGCGCTTCTTATCGTATATTATAGTCTCGTAATAGCACAAAGCTTACAGCCGGCCTCAACTGTGGATAATGTGGCCGGATGCCTAAGTATGTCCTATTTTATGTATATTGACCCGTGCGCAATTCAAAAACATTAACCTAAATTTTAAATGTCGGCACCAACCACATGTTACTTTGCAAAGTTTTGGTCCACGTCTGTAATGCAAACCGCAAGTGTCACCTACGATAATGCAGTGGGTTTTTCAGTGTTGACTATTTCTGTGTGAATGTTGAAATATAGATCAAGATAAATCTGATAATCTCCAATCATTTGCTATTATCGAAGGCAAGTCCGTGATGCTAAATCCGGCACGTTTTTATTTTAAGTAGATAGGCAGCTGATAGAAAACAATTATCATGATCTGGCTGTAAATTTAATAAATTTAAAATTATTATTTAAAACGAATTCTTAAGTTATCATGACTTATCAACATGTTCGTGAAAAAATTTTATCAAGTCACCATAGTTGAAATCTATTGAAATAATAGTCTAATCAACTTCACAAAAATCAAGGTGATGATTCTAGAATCTTCTTCGTTAACAGTAGCCTAACAAGGACCCAAAAGCTTGTCGTAGCTGTGATATTAAAGTTTAACATAAGAAAAAGTTTAAAAGTTAAGTAAAAACTAGTTATAAATACGATAGCGATCGATACTATCATGAACGGTTTTCCCTTCTCTTAATCAACTTATGGGACAATTTGAATGAAAATAAATTTACCTAAATATGCTTGTGAAGAAATCTTGACAACGTGACATTTTCATAACGGCTATGGTTTCTTTCGAACGGATGGGTATGAAATTTAGATTAAATAAATGAATCCTGCCCATTCAACAGTGAAAACTGTCGCGTGGCCCTACCTACCTGGTAAAATTCAAACTCACGACCCCCGGCGCCTTAGCCAATAACTTTGCAAATTCACCAGCAAGAATCGGCTAGCTGTTCACTATCCTTTCCATTGTGTTCTATAAAGAGATATCTGCAACACCGCCTACCTGCAGCAGATCTGTCTTGGCGTTGAGGTCGTGCCGCAACTGTGTGACGAGGTCCCTTGCGCTGCGCAGCTCGCCCTCCAGCGAGCTGACGCGCGCCTCGAGCCGCCCGTTCGCCGCCAGCAGCTCTTTACCGATGCGCGCCGTCAACTCCAGATCCTTCTCTTTCTAAAAGTAACGGTTGGTAATCGCAACATTAAATGCGGCATGGGAAAATTCAATGTAACGCCATAGTTGAAATCTATCAAAGTAATACAGTCAACTTCACAAATCAACTTCACGAAAATGATTCTAGAATGTGCTCCGTTAACGGTAGCCTAACAACGACCAGAAAGCTTTGACGTAGTGGTGGTTATAAAGAACTAATAAATAATAATAATAGAAATATATGAACATGAGACAAAGTTAAACGTATCTCCAATGAGGTTTTTCTAAAATTTGAAATCGTTTCAAGCACAAGTATGATTTTGGAGCTTACCTCTTCTAAGAGCCGTGTTACCGCTTCGATGTCATTGTAGGTCTTTGTCATTTGGCTCACCCTGTTGCTGCATAGAACTGTGGATAGAAAACTCATTTATTATTGATTTTAACAAAAAAAATAATATGATAAAAATATTTTGATTTCAAAAGAATGTAATTTTAGTTATGTGATAAATTATTATTAGTAACAATAATTATAACATAAAAGAAAAGACAAAAGAATATTACACTTTTTATTTGGCCAATTTATTACGGGGAAAAATATTACTTTTTACTATCATATATACAAACCAAACAAAGTAAATTCAATTGAACAATCAACATACACAGCTGAATTAACATTTACAACACCTATGTAAGAAATTATTCGGCGATAGAGGAAAAGCTGAAACATCTTATTTTTTCATAAAATTTCTTTTATTGACCTCTCGATCAAGATGTTCGTACGCATGCAACGAGCGAAACGAGGGAAGAACTACGTTTTCACACAACAACTTTCTCCGTGTTCGTATCTAATGAAACTATGTATTATAAAGTCCGTAACAATAGAATGAGGCAACACCGTAGCCGACATAATAGATAGAAAATCCTACGGACGCCTTCACGGGCGTAAATCGAAATTGCATACGGCGTGAAACGAAATGCACCGAACTGCGAAGCATTAAATCGCCACTTACCTGGGCCGATACAGATGAGATATATATATTCAAAAATTATTGTATGAAATAAAGACTAAGACTGACCCAGCGAAATGTCATCTACGTTAGTGGACGCGTTCATTGGAGCGAACCCAATCTACGATAACATTCTTGAAATAATACAATACAGATTATATATTTAATGATAGTATTATTTTGCAAAGTGCGATTCGTTATCTGCGACACTTGCGCGAACAGTACGACCAAGTGAGTGACTGCGTATAAAGAGTACGTCGGGAAGGCAAAACAAAGTATTCTATTGTGCAACATGAGAAAAATGGAATACAAGAGACAAAACACGCTCAGAATTTATTGATACATTTGAAATGCAGGCGATCACATAATCAGGGAACCATTTAAAATACATATTGCCTTAAACAAGTTTTATAACTTCAATAAACGAAAAGAAATATATGTATGAAAATTGTGCTCGAAATAAAATTCTGTAGGAAAGTTCACTTAAGTTCTTGGTTCAATTTAATTCCTTAAGAATATAACCTTTAATTTTTTTTTTACTTATTTTGATCATGACTGCGACTGTAAATACTTTTTCTAAATCCTTAGTTTTTTATATACAGACGTATGTTTTGCTTTCCTATGCCTATCTGATTCTCAACTTTGCACAAAGTACACAAGACATCATTTGCTTACTCGAAATTGGACACCGTTAAAATAACTCTACAAATATTCGCGTTCGGCTATTGTGAATGCTAATAAATAATTCTTTTAAACCACCAATGAATCACGGCAGACCAATATATAGTATATAGAAACCTGTAATTGTGACGTAAACATTGTAATTATTAGATGTTAGTTAATATAAAGCTAACTAGAATGCTTTCTAATACAATAAAAACCTCATGGGAACTTTTATTAATAGCAGAGCCATTCAACCGAGGTGCATGTGAGTTTTCCCTTTATCTTAAATAACAGCTTGTGTTGTGTGACAACGGATATCAATTGTTTGCGATCGCTCGTCTATCACAATTATACAGGAGCATGTTTTATAACGCATAATTTCCTTGTAAATTCATAGTTTAACACTTAAAAATTATACGAGATCAATCATGGGAGTCAATTTATTTAACAATCTTATAGCTCTTGAAACTACAAATATGTATCTTATTATAAAACCACAGGAACGTTTTCTGAAAATAATTTGAAGCAAACAGATATTTGTGAGTTGAGACAGTACTCTACTACCACTGATATCTGGAAGTAGGATTTTATTGTGTTAAGACCGAAAAATAAACTCAATGGTAATAGAGTAAAAGTAAAATTAAATAATTAATATTTCATTTTACTATATAAACAGAATAACGTGTAGAATACGTTATATATTTCGAGTGTTATCTCAAATTATTATTTCAACTGTTATTCATTTCAGATTTCCATGTGACATTAATCGATTCTATTTCTATTAAATTGTGCGTGTTAACATTACACATTAAATTTTCAGTGGCAAATAGAGATATACCTATAACACATTTATCCAATGACGAGGTGGAAATAAGAATCCGTTTAAATAACAGCAATCTATTTATAAATGGAATGTCTGCTTACAATTTACTATAGCAATTTAAATAATAAAAATAACAATAAAATACTTTACAGAAAAGTAATTTAAAGTTGTACGCAGCGTATAAAACGGGAATAGATTTGTTATTTATGCGTGTTCGGCCTCATGCCAAACACTAACCACGTGTCAAGGCGAATTCTTTTAAAGTGGTTCTTTTACATTCAATTTTACTAACTGAAGAATCGTGATATAGAATAAAATATCCAATACATTTTTTTGCCTTTTCCGTCCAATCAATTTACTGTGAAATCGAACACGTTTACTATCATTAACGCCTCAATTGTTCTTCGACACAAAGGTATTATATTCAACACGGAGCAGTACTCAAAGCAGTAAAACGCTTTAGAACCCAATACTGAGTTACATTCACGCGAATATTTAGTTATAGTCCACTCATTCATAATAACACAAGGTTGTCGTTCTAGTTTTAACTGTTTATGAATGACTATAAATAGTTAAAAAGGCGTGCGCTTTAAAAATACATTGAACGCTGGCACAGTGTCATCTTGTGCAGTTTAAAAGGAAAACATACAATACTAAATTCTTCCCTGACCTCGCGATGTGTCTTTGAATTTTAAGTTTATTACCAAGATCGACGTAATTGTTTTGTTTTTTTACGATGACATCAACGTTGCATTTACCTAGTATTATACATGAACAGGTAGAGTGATAAAACCACACGCTAAATGGACTCGACCACAATACCGTCTAATTTCATCTGTCTTCGCTTCATAAAAATGGATAGGATGTTATATTGTTGCTTGTGCTACAACACATTGTGTTCGGAGGAAAATAAGAAAGAAATTGTTGCGAATGGCTAGAGAAGTGTATAAAGCTGAAGCGTTCATGAGTTCGAAGCGCGACGATACAGCGTCAGATGGAATTAGGAAGCAGGAGGATGCTGAGAATGGGCGAGTGTTTCCACGGGCGCGTTGTGATAGATGACCGTTACCAGTGCCGGGTTATCCATCCGTCAAGGGCCGTACCTCGATCAAGGAGCAATGTCCGTATAACGCGAAAGTAGAGCCGTCCGAACCTGTCCCGCGCCACGTGGTACAGGAAGTCGGGGTACTCGCCGAGGCACTCGCGCAGCTCCGCGTCGGGGAGGAAGCTCAGCTCTTGGAAGAGTTCGCGATCGAAGCCGGGCGGCGGCGAGGCGCGCTCTCCCCCCGCGCACCCCGCGCCCGTGCCCGCACCGCTCTCCGCCGTGACGCGCCCGAGCCACGGACATCGGCCCCGCCCGCCCCGCGCCTCCGACGCACCCCCACCCCCGCACACCCCTTTGTCACTCGCACCGTCCACTACCCTCCGTCAAATCAATGGTCCTATTGCAAAACTCTACGGCCGCCTGCCGTCACAAACACTAACATCGTGACACCACAGCGATTAGCCCCGGTTTGTTTCCGTCCAAAATTGTATTGACAATAGGACCGTGCTAAATTGATACGCAAATAGTAAATTGAAGAGTATAAAATTAAACGGACATTATGAAATCACGAGTGCTGTTAATGTTTTTCGTATCAATTTTTACGGAGATTAGATGTTAAAAATATTTTAGAAAGTGTTGTTTTGTTTTGGCGAAAAGATTAAACTTCGCTCTATAAAGGATTTACCACATCGGACCATATTCACCTTACAAAACCAGAAAATTTATGTCAATTCATAACGTGTTTATAGAAATGTAAAAAAAACAAGTGCCATAATAAGGGAATCGTAATTAATATATGTGTAAACTAAAATCGAAAGTATCCCTCTTTTTTAATTCACACTATGAAAATAGTAAATCTTGTTCTTAGTGTTAGCGTGTTGTCATGGTCAGTAGGAAATAATTGCCTAACCTCAAGCGGCTTGGTGGCGTTACTGAACTCGTCGAGAGAGCTAATTCTATGCACTTCCTTTATAATGCGGAAAAACAGAAACTTGTCAAGCAGAAAAATCGGTTGAAGTCAAATAAATTGCATCGTTACTAGGTTTATGAACAATTAAAAATTACTGTGCATTAAACTTTACGCAAAGAAAACAAGCCGCGCCCGTTTCGGAGGTGACTCATAACTTCGGTTACCGTAGGCCTAAAACTGATCAGAATATTAATAGGCGTGGAAATCGCAACTCAATTTGTATCGACTATCGTCACCCTGGCGTTAATAATCTCAATCATTGCATCTAATGAACTGTGGAGTCAATGCGCCTATGAGCACAAAACCCATGTTGTAAAAGCATTACAAAAGGTCGGCTCGCACGTGACTCAGTTACTGACGTCAAACAGCCTTGTCTTGGTCGTGTACTGCTTTTTGACACTAGCAACCGATTCTACCGCAGTCATTAAGAGATCACGAAGCGCTAATGCTAATCCATAAAGTAAATTGCGTATGCAAATAAGTTACAAAGTCCATGTAAATTCAATTAATATTAAAAGAAAACATAAAATAAAAAGCGGGTGACAAGTACTACATACAATTCAATAATACAAATTTCGAACAATTAGACACAAAATATGATCAAATGTTGCCAGATCTCGAAACGAGTTTCGCACGCGCCGTGTTCTAGTTACAATCAAGTGGACATGACTAGTCTCACTGATAGTGTTGTCTTTTAAAAACAAGAAAACTTTTCATTTTCTAATAAACTAGCTGTCCCGGCAAACGTTATTTTACCATATAAATCATTTGTAGGGTAGAAAAAAAATTTTGGGGTGGACCACCCTTAACATTTAGGGAGATGAAAATCTTGCCGATATACACTCAAAAATTCACGAAAATCGGTCGAGCCGTTTCGGAGGAGTTCAATTACAAATACCGTGACACGAGAATTTTATGTTAGATGATTTTTTTTTATTATTTTTATTTTTATGGGGTTTTTATCTATAAAGATACGCCAACCCCATCGTAACTTATACAGATCACAACAACTTACGAAATGCGAAAAGTTTTAAATGAACAATAATAAGTATATTTATAACCAATAAACCAGTATAACTAAAGATTTAATGTCAATACTCTAGTAAAATTACAACAAGTAAAAGTTGCAATCGGATCTTGATAACTAAATCCGTAACGAGTTTTGTTAGTTCAGCTGGCAATCGTAATTGTAACGTAATGTAACTTGGGAAAAAAGTAATGGACGGTCAACGATCATATATCACACGGTTTGAATTAGAATAGTCCTTGAAGACCTTTAGGATTTTAACTGCGGTAGGGCCATGCAACAGTCTTCACCATTGCACGAATGGGCAGGTCCGTCCGGGTGAGCACCACGACGTCACAGAAGACCGAAGAAGTCGAAGTGTAATACTTGTGCGTTTTGTCTATTGGGTGAGGTAGCCAGGCCCACTCGCTTTATTAAAAGGTGGCAACGCATTCGCAATCATACGGGTGTTGCAAATGTCAACGGGCGGCAATTATCACATAACATCACGTGAACCGCCGGCTCGTCTCACATAAAAAAGACCTTAATACGCGTTATGGAAATCGGATAATGAGGCCTGAAACCTACACAAGCCGACACATTGATCGGATTAAGTGCAATAAAACACGCGCCTCGGATAATGCAACTTTGCGACGGAACCTTGGCCCGAATATGCTCAAAACGTTCCCCCGAATGCGAACTGTAAGCTACATCAATCCGAGAGCTTATTTAGCTCTCTAGGCCAGCGTTATTGACATACTGCAGGTTATTGCGGTGAAAGTTAACGCAATAACGTGAAAGTTTAAAGTAGTACTGATTAATAACCAAGCAGATTAAATAATATATATAAACACAAATAAAAATTAATAAACAATAACCCTTACAGAGTAATGCACCAAGCTCTATAAACAGAAAAAACCAAAGTATAAAAAATCTATCAACTGAGCGCGCTTCCGTCTACAAAAAATAATATAAGTGTCCAGGGACACATTAATAAAACATAATTTGGGGCAATTATTTTATCTAGATGCAGATAAACTGACGTTTAAGATTATTACAAACGCCATGAATAAATTAGGACTGATAACGATAACCGAAATGATATCAAGAATACGCTTTAGTGTATTCATGATAACAGTCTCATTCTTTCGTTTTAACTTAACTTTTCTTTAATGTTATTCCATAGACGTGGTCGCGAAGAGCATCTTTTGAATAGTAATTTGCCATTTCTGCTTGAATGCGGTACGTTTTATTATAGTTAGTTTTAACTGTACGGTTGCGTGTCATGGATTACGTGGTATTAAAATTTATACAGAATTACTGGAACGTTAAATTATTGCCAAATCTAAGCAATAACATACCTCTTTAACAAATTTAATTGTCCTACATGGTAAGAGAAATACCCGAAAAATTTCACTACATCCAATTTACACGTGTAAAGAGTGAGTTGCTATGTTAAGAACAACTTAAATATTTGTTTCTTATAAATTAGCAACAATGATTAACTTTCACGTAATAACTTGTACAAATTCAACACTACATGTTATACGTTAGCCACAAAACACTTATATCGTCTAACCACTAAACACTGGACGACCACTTCCGTCCGCAACGCGACCATAACTAAGTAATGTAGCTCTGGCCACAGCTTACGGTTAGCAATATAACTGTTAAGATCGTTCACACAATTACAGCTCTTATTTAGAATGCAATTCAATTGATAATAGCCCACGACGCAGTGATGGACGTGTTATGCATTTATACCATGCACCGTATGTGCGTAATATTATATATCTAGTAGTAGGGTGCGCAGCCCCTCCTCAGTTTTGCGTCTTTAGGGATAGCGAATGTGAAAGTACCTCCAAAAGAATTATTTTTAGGTACACATCATAAAGCCAACTAAACATTTTTATTATAACAAATTATTGATCGTTCTCATTGAGAATGAGAGGTCATTACTAATCAATGATAAGATATCCCAGAAATATATATTCTACTACCATTTCTAAAGAAAATACCCAATCAATAAATAATACATAATATATATTTTTCTATAATAATCAAAACTTAATTAAGTATTCATTAAACAAAAAGCTACAATAATTTACTGAAAGCGACCTTGGCGACCCAACTTCAACGGAAATGTTGTGCATTGAAATGTCACATTAAAATGTATTACTTTATACAGAAAAAGATTACTAACACTCTAGCAAAATGTATATTTTACAATATAATATGCAAGCTTACGAATAAAATAGTGATCTACGATTATAGGTAGTTAATACAGTTCAATAATATGTCGTAGGACTAGACAAAGCGATAATAGATATTGCGATCATGATCTCACGGTCAAGACAACAGAAACGTCGGGCTGGGGCGCAGCTGACGTGCGACCAGGGGCAGCGGCGCTGCGGCCGCCGCTACGCCGCTCGCTCTATTCCCGAACACCTCAATCGATGGCTCGCCAACTCGGATTCCGCGGCGACCGATCGCCGGGGGGCATTTCGAGCGCGGGGGCGTACTCCATGCGGGGGATTCGCCTTACGTAAAGATTGCGTGCGGTCGATGACTACGAGCGAGAGGCTAGTGCATCGTTCCAGTGACGAACGGCATCACTGGAACGGCGGTGCACCGTTCACCGCTATGTTTAGCGCGGCCGGCTGAGCGAGTCCGTCGGCGTATCGATCGGGCGGGGGCACGCGTGTCGCGTGGTTACCGGCAAAGCGCGCACTGTGTTCGCCGCGCGCCGCGAGCGCCGCGCATGCGCTCGTGACGGCACATTGCGACTGGCGCCCCGAGCAACACTATTCGCGATATCGTTTCAAATGCCGCGATAATTAACACAGACGCTCGCTTATTAAGCAATGTTTGAGGACGCGAAACGTTTAATTGTCAATTAAAATCCGATGCAACAAACCGGCGCCCGCCCCGCTGCGAAAAACAACCAGACGAATCTATTTTCGTCGCCAATCAATACTTTTCGTCGTGAAAGCAGTCGCGACCGCGCTGTATATAGCGTTGTGTTTATAGAATTAAGATCGTGAATCCGCAATTCAGCGGGGCGAAGCTATTATGCCGGTATCGCTCAATCGCAAAGAGATTGTTGCAATTTGCTCTAAGGTCAACATGTAAGCGACAAAACTATTCAAGAAATTTGCATTTCAATTTCCTATTTAGAATCGAGGGGAAAAGAGAGGACAAAGAGAAAAGATTTTATTTAATTTTTCCGATATTTGCGTTTCTAATCAGCTTAAACTTATGATGATTCATAAATAAAATATTTTTGTTAACATTCTAATAGTTTGAAAAACAATTTCGCCTTTTCCACAACTTTTTCTTTTCTATATTCGAAAACAGACGTCGACTAACATGAATGACTAACATGTAGCATTGTGCATTCGGGGTCAAGTACGAACACATTCGAAGTCCTTGAAAAAATAGTTTAAATTGTTCCAAAGAGGAAATTGGCGTTGAACATCCTGAAGGTGGGATTTTTTACAATACCGTTGAGGGATAGGAGTTTGTAACGGTGACCTCAAACTAAAAGAAACGAAACAATAGTGTAGGGCCAGCTCGATGAGGCAGCTTTGAGCTCCACAACCGATTTTGACATGAAAGCTGGGAAAAGGCGGGGGCTGCACATATATCAAACTGTGGAGAATGTACTGCCATGCAATTGTTCCCCTAAGGGAGGAGTGCGAGACCGTTCCCGTAACCCAGGCGGAACTGTTGGCGTCGTAGAAGCAATATACATATCTTCACTCACGAATACATATATTTAATATGAAGCCCAATGTTTCTTTATTTTTGATCAAGGGTGAAGAAACTGATCTGATAGCAACAAATATTGACTTATCGAGTACCTAATAAATGAACACACGTCTAACGCTACTTGCCAATAATCATAAAAAATAATAATATACTATATGCAACTTTACAGAAATTGGTTAAATAAAGTTAAATTAGATTAAGTTTAATAAAAGGCTTTTATTATCATAGACATAAATAGAAATTCTACAATTATTTCATTTTAGCTTTGTATAATATTTAGTTTCTTATTTGTAATACATAGGTGGCGTTAGTAGTAAATTAAAACACACTATGGTTTGACCGTTGTTATTAGTATAAGGGTCCGCAAAAATTATTGATAAAAAAACTTGCAACGTGAACCGTTTATTTCAATTAACCTCACGGACCCAAAATACAACCGCTTACATGGTCCTTCGTTGCCGAATAGTCAGCCAGTGAGTAGAAGGCAGACATTCGACTCGTGCGCGAGTGTTGTGAGTGAAGTTTTTTTGGAAAACCGAACTGAAGTTGGATCGACGTCGCAGCAAGTTCTAGCACTGTCATACTACAAATATTATTATTGAATTTCATTAATTGTAATAGAAATATTACTATCATTGATTTCGTATTATATATTTGTGTTATTAATGGTTTATGGTAACTGAAATACGAAATATATTGTTTACATTTTAGAATTAGAATTAAAATAAACCCTTTGATTTTGCTGATCACTTTAATATAACATATATATATATATATATATTGTTATGAACACACGAAGGAACTAACGCCATCTAGCGTCAACTATTAAACCACTAAAGAATAAAGACGACATAAAACCCCCTATTCAACACTAGATGGTGTTAGAGGAACATTTTAAGATAAGAAAAAGATGGCGCGTAACGCAAAAATGTTACACTAAATGTTTTTCCAACCCCGAGAAAGAAGTTTCACTTCAAAAAATATTAACGTTAAACAAAATCCTTACTTAAAAAAAATATTTTTCGAACCAAACTAATTAAGTAAAACAGAAACAAAATTTGTAACATCCTATACAACGCGCGCCACAGCGTCGTATTACAAGCCTCTCCTTCTAACAGTGTTTTGTCTTCTAACAGTATATATATATATATTATTACTCGGCTGAATGCTCGGTTTTTGACCGTTGTTCGGCCGAATATTCGTATTCGGTTCAACCTGTATTCGGCGCGCCTCCGGTTTTTACCTTATAAAATTTCGAATTACTTAACGCAAATGTGTATTAGGTAGTTGATATTAAAACTATTACTTATTCGTGGCAGTGGGGCTCAAGATCAAGTGACATTGAGCCCATAAATGCGTACTATTTTCTGCTACCATAGAATCTTGTAGAAATTAAAGATCCAGCCTCGTAATACGGACATGCTCAAAAGGCCATATTCAAAAAATTAATAAATAATAGTGAAAAACTTCTTCTCGTCACAAAAAAATTAAAGTAAACAACATAAATATTTTGCTTACTATCTGATTAACTTCATTTATTTGTAAAATTAAATATGTTAAAGTAATAAAAAATGTACTTCTTAAAACATTGACTATTGAAATATTTATAAATATTAACGCCAGACAAATTCCATAAATTCTGACCTACCTCAATACTACTATTATAGTTAAGTATTTAATTATTTACGTATAAGGCATAAATAAAAACGACAAAAAACTACAGGTTTCCGTTTTAAACTAACAGCAGCCGTTAGGCTGGCTAGATCAGGAACTTAGAAAGTGACTTTCAAAGAAGGGCTAGAATATCAAACTCACGTTTAGACATAGTTCTAGTTGGACCGAATACCCAATTTGAGTGCTCGAACAAAAATGATTACGATGAAAACGATTGAATGTTTCCCGATCCATAAATCAACGTATCACTGTTTGTGGAATCACATAGAATACACAAGTCCAAGATAGTCAAGAAAAACAAAGTCGTGTTCATCTCAGAATTGTTTACATTTCTAAAAAAATCAAAGATCTAATTACTGTGTTGCCAAAACACGTATGAAAGAAAAATTGTCTATGAAGAAATATTATCGTTCAAAAATCATGAGTATATAATATTTAAAACAATCGGAAGATGAATATTCACAATTCATACGCGGCGCCATACGCGTAAGATAAGAACTCTGCCGGGGGCTAATAACAATCATAAATATTTTACATATTACACCTTAAAATATAAGGGAAAAATGATTTTATGATTCACCAACAAATAGCAAAATAGCATTTATAAAATTAACGTGAAATATAATCGTTTACTGCTCGACGCTCTATTTGTAATTAAAGAATCATTCAATTCTGGACTGTTATTCAATAAACGTGTTTATTATTACTTCTTCAACATAGTCTTTCTTAGCTATAAGTTCAATAATAAGTTCAAAACTCATGCAAAAAGCAAGTACTTAATTATATCGATACTAAATTAAATTTTTTTATAGTGCGGAAATGCACTTAACATGCAACAATAAAATTGTAGAAAAAGGACCAAACGTTTTGGCCGCTGCGGGAATCGAACCCTCGGCTTTCAGATTAATGCCCAGACGCTTTAACCACTAAGATAAACGGCTGATTGCCACACCGGGGAAAATCTCGTCTTTTATTTAAATTGTTTTGGCATTTCAAGCAACGCTTGACGGATCTATTGTTATACCCCCATGTATGTTGTTAATACAAAAAAATAGTTTTAGTTTCTATTTTATCATTTCAGTAAAAAAAATTATTAATATAGTAAATGCCATAAATTTTAATTTAAAGTAAAAAGTAAAGTAATAGCCTATACATGTCCCACTAATGGGCAAAAGCCTCCTCTGTACAGAGGGTATCAGGGCATAGTCCACCACGCGGCCCCACTGCGGATTAGCGGACTTCACATACCTTCGAAAAATATTTTTTTTTGTTATTATTTCGAAAATATGCAGGTTTCCTCACGATATTTTCCTTCAACGCGGAGCACGTAATAAGTCCAAGGTTAAAAACTTCATTGGTGCCGGCACCGGGGATCGAACTCAAGTTGCTCGAGTATATTGAATTAAAGGCGAGCGCCCGGACACGGCTCTCTAATTTTAATTTAAACTTTTCCTTTTTCATAAACTGGCCAAATAATAATCGATGAACTAAAGGAAATTGATAAATTTTTACGAGATAGATATCATGGCAAACTACAAACAATACGTATTTTTATAAATCATCTAAATAGTACTCACGAAAATAATTAAGCGTTTCCCTGATCTGATCAGGCGTCAGTGCGAGGTCGTCGGGGCTGACAGGAAGTGCCGGCGATGGAATAAACCAATCTTGATTCTCGTACCCTAGAAACAATTAGACCCATTTAGAATACAATTTGACATTACAAAAAGTTGTAGCACAATCTAATAATACATATTGCGCAGGCATTGAACTGAAAAGGTGAATTAGCTGGTGAATAAGGCGAATCATACAACTTCCAGTTGTTTCCAGTTAATTCCTCCTGTGTATCCCACATGTTGTTTAAATTGATACCACATTTGTGTCATACTAACGCGAGCACATCACTACGAGCGTATTTCTCACGATAAGTGTACGTCTTGCGATAAACCAGGGCACGGGTTATCAAAGCAAACATTAAACATTACAGTTAAACAATACAATTTATAAAATTAAAGCGAGTTGAACGATCAAATTGTCCGTGATGTATACGCTGTACCAATTATGGTGCCGAAATAAAATTTAGAAGGCGCCCTACGAGATTAAAATTTCTAGTTTCGATCAATCTTACAAAAGGGCCTTAGAAACCGGTTCGGTATCGACGCAAAAGGTACTTATAATGAGGTACACACAGTCTGGAGCTTTCTCTAGATCGAGAATATTCATCTTATATGCATATATGTCATTTAAAAGGTAAATAAAAACAAATCGTGGAACGTTTATACGGCGTTCTTTTAATTATCTATAAACAATAAAAGAACATTGCAGTCAACCGTAACTTTATCTGAATCACGGTTCAGGTTCCACTCAATCAGATCTGGACGATTTATGAAAGGTTCACAAAAGGTGAATTTCCCATTTCTCTTAGAATTATTAGCAAATTTCAATCATTGTCATGGTGAAAATGTCTGTTGTCATATTAAAATACTAAGGTTATTGTAATATAAAAATATTTCTATACATTAATATAAGCCTAATAAGTTGATAGGAAATATTGTAGAAATATTGTTCAATCGTAGTAGTCATGCATTTCAAATGTGGAGGAATCTGGATGGAACCGCACCATCTAAGGGACACGGGACTAGCCGTGGTATGCGAGGCACTCAAAGTACCATCCGCGAGTTGACAGAACGCACATATAAGACCGGTTGGGTGCACGCTGGTCAGCGGACGATGACTCGACCGATGAGACACCATTATTTATAGCGACGCGACGCCGGCGCCGGAAGCCCTGTTTCGAACACTGTGGCACGGGACGGCGCTTGATCCACTTCTGGACGCCAAACTCCGGTCAAATATTAGTTTCCTTTCCGGGACAGTTAAGCTGCGAGCTTGCTTATCAAAAGATAACATACAGTTACGCAACTGTAAATTTTAATGCTACTACGTTGGATAGTGTACTTTTACATTTCATATGGCACTTATACACTGCAACTTTAATCATAGATAATAATGATATTCGTATGCTTTAGAGGTCAAAGGTAGCGCATTTACTTTAAGTATATCATCCCTTTGTATTTGTACAATTTTAGTTATTTTTACGATGGGTGATCAGATTTTGAATGGATTAAAAACAAAACCGTGCATAACATCAGTCAAACAACTTTAATAAGCCATCATGTTAATTATGGTAATATTTAAAATGCTCGTTTTTGGGAGATGAACTGTCAGCTAATGAACATCTCATATTGTATTCTTCTAAATAAATACCGATAGAAAAATAATTTGGACTAGTTAATGAACATGTAAACATTGCAATTGTAATTGCAATCGTAAAATTATCTTCCCTCACGTTTTAACAACCTCTTTAAAAATTCTAGTGAAATATTCTCACGTTATCTCTCTTACTGCTGTTAAAATCTTTAAATTTGTTACATTGGCGAAGATAAAAAGACAATAAGAAATTCAAAGGAAAGTCTACACAATCAAAGAACAAAGACTTTTTCACATAGGGCCAATGGAGCACAGTTATAGATTAAAAATGAATAATCATTGAGAGTTCGTAGACAAAAGCTGATTAGAATGTATGGTTAATTAAACCTTTGCTTAATTCAGGTATAATCTCTCGAAACGATCGATCTAATCACATGGTGCAGAGTTGAACAAAGATGAAACAACACACCTTAAAAATCGTTCAACGATTGCATCTAAGAAATTACTGTTCGTCATAGTATGCCTTGTCAGAGTATCTATCAAGAACTCGAACATTTGAAGACGAAAATGAAAACGATAGAAACAAATTAAATAACACACACACTTAATAAAATAAATACACTTCGAATTGAAAAATAATCCATTGCTAAACTACACAATCAGCACATACAATTGGACAACTTAATTAGAAACATCGATGTTTTTAAATCGAAATATTATTCAGGAGGTATAATCCTTTATTTTGGTTGTCTTTTAACTCTTGGGTGAAAGGAAGACGAAGAAAGATATCCACGTTCTACTCAGCATATTTTGATCACAAACATGATGGTGAATCTTATCACGATATGACGTACAGAAATATGCGCCACGAGTTTTAGGCCTCCAAAATCCGTAAGATAGCTCATTAGTGCGCATACCTGGGGTTCGAACCTGCGTCTTTAAATTTAACTTCCGTCGTCTTATACACTAGACCATATACAAGTCGCTTGAATATTATACAATAAGAGGGAAAATAGTGTCGTACGAATTATCATAACAATTTTGCTTTCATAAATCCACTCTTCAGATTCATGTTTACGTAAGAGTCTCATTGTTATTCAAAGATATCGTTTGATATTAATTATTAGAGTATATGGTTATTCATTTTAATAATGAGAAAGTCTCTGAAGGAAATGTTTCTATCTCTATTAAGTTTAACCGAATACTGAGATGCAAAATAAACCTTGTGCTAAATTTAAGCTGGGAAATCACATCTGTGTGCCAGTTCTAGTTTCTCGAATGCTTAAAAATATGGGTTACCATCTTTCTTTAACAATACCCCGTATGTTTATATTCGTCAATTTATAAAAGCATACGCACCGAATAACGTCATAAAATATTGTTATAGTGTTAAACTTCATAAAACAATAGCGAGAAACTCACCACATAGCCCGATGTCCAGTTATTTTCAACAGTCGTAATGACGTCCATTTATTTTATAATTCTATTGTTATTCAAACAAAACTCATAAGAGGTTATTGTTAGAATAATCTTCACGTCTTATTAGTTTAACGGTAATTTGCTAATGGTTAATAAAATAATCAAAATATAATTCTTATTACCTCCAAATTGTGTAAGACTGTCGGCTCTCAGGCGATATTTTGGTATGTGTTCTTGCAGGAGACTGACGATTTCTACCTCGGGCACCTCCTCGCTATTGCACACCTCTGCGGGCAAAAAAATTGGTTATTAATAATGCCTGTACAATTACATACGTGAATCAAAATTATCTAACAACAAAAATAATAGACGTAATAAATTTTGCCTGACGTCAGAAAACGCCAGCTTTCCTCGTAGAGGAGAATCGAAAACGGCTCTCGTTGTATCTGGCAACACGAAATCAGCTAGTGAATCGTTAGAAAGTCTCGGGTTTGAATACAGCGTCGTGACTTGGAACTTGAACTTGAGCGGGCGTAGTATTTAACTGTATAACACGAGCGTACTCGCCACGAGCGTCTACTTTCCGCATTTAGCATGGAGGCAGACAGAATCGATATCGCTCCCTCCCGACGCGGTTTGGATGACGCGGTTGACCGCGCAATCTGCGGGGCCCACACCCCGAAAGATTACATCCGATGTCTATCTTAAAATTACAATCCCCCAAATTTTCCTTTTAAGAGCCCGGTATTTGAATCTGAATGGAAAGTTACTTTAGGGTAATTGCTAAAACATGTCTAGTTAATGCCGCCGTCACGCTCGGAAACATTTCTCCAATCTTAACACCACGACGCAGTGTTCAAGTTTTTACATCAATATAATGCATAAACTAAGGTTGCATATATTGCGTTTTGCATGTTTTTTTTTTCATAACATCATTTACACAAAACTGGTTTGTGAAACTTACATTCTTAGATATAAAGCGAAAGTCTAACTTTCTCTTACTCATGATAAAATTTCTAGGCTTTTCAAAAGTTACGATCAATACAGTTTCGAGTAACAATAAACTATACGTATATCTGTTGTTGCTAGTGTTCAAAAATTTGAAATCTAGTTCAATCAACCAATGACTGTTTTTCCGACTTCAATATTTTTTGACATATTATAAAACATTATCTCCACCTGATGTGAAAAAGAAATAAATTCCATACACTTCTCTATGTACTCTTGCGGGCTTTAGGGCGGCAAATTTTTTCCAAAGTCCAAGATGTTTTAAAGTCACTCAGGTTAAATTTGGTCAGTTATACAGTGGGTATTAAAAATTTTTGAAGTTATCTACTTCTTTTGGGGCGTGAGAGTACAGTTGTTACAATGCGCGCGCAGACCGACCCTCAAAAAGCGACACGAAACTTGGTAACCTATTTAATCTTGGCCACCAATAATACCTTTTTAACATTTACCAATTGAAAGTTATTTAAATAAACCATTATCAATTAGCGTATTTACGCTGAGGAAGTGTAACTTCTTACATGCGTACTTTATATGTTGTACACATATACTTTTTTTAAATATATTTCATTTGTAACTATAGAAGTAGGAAATACTATTACCTATATTATTCTGTAGCTTCTCAAAAAGCGTTACGCGATTTACTTTCCTATCACTTAGGTGGAACCATTATTTCTACCATCGTTTTACTCTGACTACCACGAATAGTTTAATAAAATAAAAGAGTTACAATTAAATAAATATTTAATTGTATAAAGATAAATTATCACATTATGGTACAAATGCAACGTGCATTTGGAATTACAATATTTTCAAATAATAAGTAATTAAATATTTGAAAGTCCTACTCCTCGACCTTGGAGTATGATGCCTAAAACGGTGGCAACATTTTTCTTGTATTAAATGGTTACAGCTTTTTAGCAGAACCTATGAACCAGAAAAATGCAACCCTCTAGTCATCAACCTTAACAATAAGATAGTAGTACTTAATTCATGCTGTAATTATTAGGAACGTAAAACTACGCGACCTGTAGGTATATGTGTTGACGGAATTAAAATTCTTAAATGAAAAAACATATTATATAACTTACTCGTGCTACAAAAAATATATGATAATGTTCTTCTTTTTTTTATACATTACATGTAAAATATTTTACTTAAACGATTAAGACTTTATAATGAACATACTACACGCAACATATATCACGAAATGTAACTGCATAAGCTTCGAAACAACTTTGCTCTCGACTTGAGAATCAGATCAATGCCATCTTGCAGACAAACACATTGTATTTGTTATATGTGGACAATTTATATAGCCGAAGTTCGCGCCTGCGAATCTAACTGCGGCGTGGGACGCCAAATCGATACGGTCCGACGGAATTTGTATCAAAGCAAATGTTAACAGACTGCAAATTTCTGGCGCAATTCATTCCATCATGACGCAAACCATAGCGGCGTGTATACTCTAAAACTGCTTTAACAACGACCGTAATCCGAACAGTTTTGAAATTAACATAAAACAGGGATTTATAGGAAATCGTAACAGTGCGCGCAACGCAGAGAAATGAGTGAATTACCGCATACCCGGAGTCAAAGCACGTTAAACAAATCCGTAGGCTGATTAGGGGCAGGGACCGTTGTCCTACGGCATGATTACAATGTTAGCAGTAACGGAGTTCCACAGCCGTACTAATGCAGCTTCAAGCAAGTTCTCATTAGCGTGCTGCCATGTACTTTGCAACATACAAGGTGAAAGTGACACGTCTTATCTGTACTTAATTAAAACGCAACTGATTTAAATACAGACCTGCTAGTTTCATTTTGGGTACGCGTGGTTTGCTTTAAGCTTTTATTATAATTCCCGATGAATTTAAATGTTAATTATATATGATTTGTAGAGAGCGGTTGTATTATTTTGCCGATCGTTATTGCAAATACACCTATTGTTATAGACAAATGATCTCATGATGTGTGCGGCTGTTTAGATTATCTCTGGATAATCGGTTTGAGTAGGACACTTCAGGAATAGCTTTTATGAATTTCATATTAAAGTTATATAGACACCACTCGCGTTATTTGAATGCAGTACATGTCAGTAATACTCAATATAGTGTTATAAAATAAAATAATATGTTTATTACGTATGCAATCCGTACGAATATTATCATTTTTAGACACAAGTCGGCGATTCCATCAGATAGCAATCATGTGATTAAACGACAGCTCACTTGCCTAACGCGTAGTTCCAATTTCGTATCTCACATTTTCTACTGTTGACATCTAGACCCGAACCGAGAAAGCGCGTGTATCAGAGCGTCTGATAAATTAGTTTAACCCTCGACATTGGCAAGGGAACAAGTTTCGGTATTTACGAAAAGTCGCCGGAATCGATGACCAATCGATCCATCGATGACCATAGATGACCAAACGCAACAGAGGGGATACCGCAAGCACTGTCTATACTCACCGTCGCTCCAAGCTAGGAGCAACTCCTGCTGCTTCTCGTGAAGCTCGTTGCGCCTCCGCGGACGAGGGCGAGTCCTCCTCTCGCTCATCCTCGTGCCGCACAAACAGAACTGGCCAGTGTGCGAACTCAGCCCCGGCAAAGCGCCGCACATGGGGCGACCGATCGCAGATCGGTACGGAGCAACAAACAAACAACTTCCCGCAACATATGCATGCGTACGTGATGGGCGCTAGTTCCAGCTTTAATCGATTCCTATAATCAAGATAATGCCGCGGAACGTCACGAAATCCGATAATGGATGCGATCGCGACCGGTAGAAATTTACAGTGCTCGATCGACCACGGCCACCGAAACGCTATTGGTCCGTTTGATGCATTTATTCACGCTACTTAACATTTCTTTCCCGTGCCGCCTCGAGTCGACGCATTTGCCAGTGATTTAAAAGAAACGACGCAACGATAACGCCGACCGCGCTAAGGCGATTAGTTAGCATTAGATTTGTTTGTTTGTTAGGTGGGATATTATTAAGAGCTCTTTTACTATTATGATGAGAATGAGGTTGCTCGCTCAATCGACTAGCTCAGTCTTCAGCTTCTCAAAGCAGGGATGATCCCAAGTATATTTTAGTCGGCTGAAATATAACGACTCGCTTTATACAAATCGGTTTTTGGCATTAGACCTTTAATTATCTTTTCAACCTTCGTTTCGTTTTACATTAAGAGTATTAATTTATTTTAAAATGTATTGCTAATTACATGAGGCAAAATAATAAATTTCTATAATCACAATCGTCCATTTACTAGACGGACGTTTAAGTTGACTAGTTAATATAGTTTCTGAAAGGAAAAAAATTGGTTTGTCACTGAATATACTAAAATATGCAGCTTTAAACGAAGGTTTAAAGGTATTAAGAAGAAAAATAAAGTATCTTTCAAAATTTTATTTATTTCTCCCTTGGGGTCCCCCATAAAATATATTTTTATATGCTTCTAGCACACACTCACAGTTTTTCACTATAGTCGTGAATATAAAGAAAGAATCTTTACAATCCCAATTTATAAAAGTATTTTTTATTGACAACCTGGGAAAATAAATACTAGCACAAATATAAAAATGACAAATTGTCAATTTACCATACTATAAAAAAGTGGTAATTTTTTCTCTGGATGAAAGTGTTTTTGTTTAATAATACAATATAATTAACTGCAAAAGCTTTTAAGTTGAAAATGTTCTGTTTAAACTTATAAGTATCGATGAAAGTTCTTTAATTATTCTTTATTAATGTTCTTTACTTATGAATACAGTTTTGCAATTGAATAGCTTATGTTCTTTAGACATTATTCTTTAAAAGGAATTGAAGAACACATTATCTAACTTTGTACGCAATAAATCCCGCTTATTTTGTTTGTGAAACGTTACGAGGCCACACGCGTAGTTCAGCTGTGGAGGTGGCACGGTCGACGCACTCGCGAGACAACCAATAAAAATGAGGATGCCGTCAATATGTTGGCATCGTCACCGTAGTAGGGTCACCTCCGAAATGGGTTGCCCCAGTGCTATTGACGAAGTAACAGCCTTGTGCGCACTGGCATTAATAATAAATGGTCAAAATGTCAATTTGATAATAATGCTCGTAGAATATTTGATAATAACGTATGCTTCAGCATGTCTACTGCGTGCACTCGACAAAAAACCGAGCAATGATCCCTATAGTCTATTTTTTATTATGACAAATTGTTCATCAATTGTCATCTCTTGCTTTATTTACGCCTATAATTAACATTGTCAAATAAAACTGGTAACTGTTGCTGTTTAGCGGAATAGTTTTCGGTCGGTTTAAGATACGTAAAATTGTTTTATTTAACAATAATATAACATGACATACATTGACTGAAATAATTATATGTCATGTTATATTATATAAATATGAAAATAAGAATTGTTTCAAGACTCGACTGTGCGGAGAGAATTACAAACACTAACTCGTTACGTAAACGTTGATATTAGCTCGAATCTTCGCTCTATCTAGTTTCTTGAAAAAATATCAGCATAGATGAGATTTTGTCTTAAGTACAAGAACGGTCACTGCATTTTTCGAAAACAAGACTGTAACGTAAAAAGGAAATGACGATGTTTTTTGACTTTAATTTTATTAAAAATACAAACTGACCAAGCAAAGACGACCTAGCTCAATGGGTATTAAATTAAATATTAAATAAATTAGAAGTTCTTAAATAAAATCTAAAGGACTTTGTCGATTGAAACAAACTGTCATGATCATGCAAACAAGTGCCCTTAAACAGAAGAGGTACCTTTCATTGCTCTTTCTTGTAAATATACTTCCGCGACTCTGTTCACTAAATTCGATTTTGTGAAATGAACAATGTATACGAAATAGAGGCGAGCTCTTCTTGAAATTTTATTTAAGACACCTACGACTCAAACTTTCGGGTCAACGTTTCAAATAGAAAAAGAGAAAGTATTACGTTAAATTTCATCAGTTCTATTTTTAAAATAACAAGTGATTGTAATAAACGCATAGAAATGTACCGAAAATACTATAATATCAAAACTCAACCCAAATATTATGTTAACGATTCTAGCGGCGTGCATGGAGCGGCCGCCGGAAGAAGCGCGGCGCTAGACTGGCTCCGGCGCATTGCGCCCGCGACGCCCGCCCGCCCAAAATAGACGATGGCCGCGAGCCAACCACCTCCTCGTTACCCCCTTCATTCATAAGGAACACGTGCGAAAGCCTTCTTTATTTGTAAAGCTACTCAAATGAAACAAATTTCGATACTTGGTCCATTTCAATCACATCAAATGATTCCCGCCGATTAGCTGTTGTTATTTTTATTATTATTCATCAAAGGCTTATAGTTCATCTTTAGTTAGCATTTAAAAACTGTTCTGTAGACTATTTTTACAAATGTAACAAATTGGCCACTTTAATTCATTATTTTCCGTACGTTCCATACGTTCTGTTTAAACGTTTATTACGCACTAATTTACGTAGGCACAAAATTACGTAAATCTGTGGTCACTCATCAAAATAATGAAGTATAGGTAATGGAATTTTATCTTAAAACATTATGTACACACGTACTATAAGAATTAAGGAAGTAATGAAAAAAGATAAATAAAAATAAATTATAAAAAAAATTAGTAATATGAATTTAACGGTACACGTATGGACTTATCTGGGGTCCTTTGCCGATTAGAGAATTACCGGTGGCCACACAGTCGAAATAGACCGGGAATAAGTCGATTCTGTAACGTTATTGTAACTCGGACGATGATTTTTCGCTATGTAGTTTCGTTAGATTTTCGAATCATCATAGTAAGTTGGGAGATTTTAAATTGGATGTTGGATATCAGAACAATCCAGACCTCGCAATAGATACTTCCATATATTTCTGTAACTTTCCGTCGAACATTGAAATTAAATAGTTCTTAAAATATATTATCCTGAATTTATTTCAATTTTGCGATACGAGTTAACGATAGTACATCAAGTACTTTAAATTAAGTAATAACTTTTATAGAATGAAAGGTTGAATTTACCGGACAATGTCGTTTGATGAAAAGACTTTTTTTAAATAAAACATAAATTATGTTAAATTAAAATTTTGTGGACGAGTCCCAGATAAGTTAGGTTTTTGGTATTGATTCTGTTACAAAAACTATGTAGCTTTATTGATTCTTAGAATAATGCCTTATAACGTAAGGAAATGCAAAAATAATTTTATGCAATAATTCTATTCAAACATTCGGTAATTATTCGGTAAAATAACCAAATATTCGGCCAAATACGAACAAAAAAAGTCCAACAAAGTAAAACAAAAAACGATTACGTGAAGCCGAACATTCGGTAATCATTAAAAATGTATGAAGATGATTATTAATTTAATTTTAAAAGATCATCTTATTGATTATTTCTACATAACTAAAAACATTTAGCAATAAAAACTACTTCGTTTATAATGAGCATTCGTCATACACGACGCATGTTGGATTGAGTTGCCAGGACTATGTGAGTCACACCTGTACCAATTGGCCTTCATATACCGAAAAACCGGTCTAAAGGCCCATTTACACGGTGCAAGTTTCTTGCCTGTTGTATACAATTAAATTGAAGCAATAAATGAGTTGCATGGTTTAAACAGCACATAACATTCTTGACCGTTGAACAAAACTTGCTTCAAGTTTTGTTTCAAAACTTTCCTGGGTGTAAACAAGCACACACAATAATTTCTTAAGCAATTCTTGTATTCAATTGCATTCTCTCTTCCTTTGCAAAAATTTGTGCAATGAGTGAGGGTATTTAATCGTGGCTGTTGTTTTGTTTTTATGGTCAATTAATACGTGCAACTTATTGCATTCAATTATTGCTCTTGTATGTACAAGAAAATGGCATAGTGTAAATGGGCCTTTACTCTTTAGTTTAATTGTGTACCCTATGTCTGTGTGCACGAACAATGCACAAAAATACAATACAGGCAAACCACTACAAAATGCTTAATTTATATGGAATTAATGTGTTTTGAAATCCTAAACAACCAATGATTTACAACAAAGTTAACCGTCGCTGTCGTATGTATACAGTATGTTGTAAATGTCACTACTTAATTGATGAGTTCATAACCGCAAGTTTATTGAGCATAAATTACATAAATATACTTAAAAACATTCAACTTCACTGTGAGATTACTGCTGACAATCAACAATATCTTTTACTTAACAAGTATCTCTAATTTCATTACTGTTATTAAGTACATTGAAAATATTCTTCAATTTTATATTTCTCTATTAACTTAATGCTATAATATATGCTTAAGCCCACCTGTAAGCGTTGCAACGTGGCGCACTGTGCGCTGAACTAGCGGAGGCGCGCGAGCCGCATCCTGGAGGGCCGCCAGCTTGACGAACTGCCCTAGAAACATTCATGTAAATTGCTAGAAATATTGTCAGACCTACAAGCAATTGAAATAAAATTGCAAATAGTTTTCTTAAATACATTTTTTCCTGCAAAAAAAGTAATAACCTGAAATATGGCTTGCAATTCTTCATTACTTGATTAATTTACTTACTACTCGAGTAATTAATTTGTGGTAAACAAATTGGACCATTAAAAATTTCCACAGGAGCATCATCTTTATCAGTATGAACTTGAAGCTTTCCTATTCATGTTACATGAGTGTATTATTATTAAATTAATACATTATCTATTTAGCAACAGATAATTCAAATTCTTTTTGTTAATAAATAACTAATACAAAAGAAAGTCAAAAAATTTATAAAATTGACAAGTACTGCACTGGACACCATACTACTGATGTGCATACACCAATGGTGCCAATAAACCATATGACAATAATATGACTGTATCACATATTTTAATAACGAAATACCAAGTCCATTAAAGTATTTTAACTTAACTATAAAATCCCTAGTTATTCTGTACTTGAATATTATCAACTACACTACTACCATATAATTTTAATTACAATTAAATTTTATATAAACATATTTCATGTAATGTAAAACATGAACTTTATTCATACTTAAATTTTTATAATCACTAAAAACTAAGAGATATTGAATAAACATTATGAGAGTTAAAAAAATGTGTTCTATAATATAATAGGCATGACAGAAATGAATAAGATGTCTTCACATTACTTACAGGTCAAATTTACGGGACTTCAGTCGCCTGATTTACAAATAACTTCTGAAAAAAAAAAATTTCTTAGAATGTAAAATTTTTCAAGGTAAAAATTTACAATATTACGTCTCGTTTTTCAATTCATGAAAAATAATTTAACAGAAAACTAAAATGAAAATACAATAAAAAACCCATTAGAACATTTTCTTTGTTTACATTTTATTTGGCTAAAGAAATTATGTCAATATGCAACTAGTGCATAAGTACTAAGTTTAAGAAACAAAATAAAGGAACAGTGAAAAGAAAAGTATGTATTCAAAGTCTTGATAACAAATGGAAAACATATGGTACTAAATAAAATACAAGTATTTTATTACAAATTTTATGCTAATACGTACGATCATATTTACATCATCGCTGCTTCGATGAACTCTGGCCTTCTCCATTAAAGGTTTATAGTAACAGTCATTGGTCACAACAATTTTGAATGAATAGAAATTAAGTAGTAACTGGTAATAATTTTGAACACATCCACCGCAAATGCAATGCAGCATTAAGTCAGTAAGGTCGTTTTTAGATCTCCATTCCTAGAGGATTACGAAAGATTAAAAGAAAAGATAAAAGAAAAGTTATACAGATAACATAACGCGAAAATATATATTATTATGGCCGACCGATATAGACTAAAAATTATTAATATCACTTTCATCTTTACAGGCATAGATTGCCTTTAATTAACCTATTGATGTGGGTGTCGTGTAGTTTGAATGAGATGGCTAAAAGTAATATTTAAACAAGTTATTTGACAGTTACTCACATGCCATGATGCTCAACGTTTTTTACGTTAGCAGGTTTTAGATTAATTTTGTGATTGACATAATGGAAAACATGCCAGCATATGGTTCTCTAACCAATTGTCAGAAGATAACTTTATACATTTTGCGATTATTACTTATTCTAAGTTAAATAACTTAAGTCTCTAATAATATGAAAAATAATCAAAATCAAATTAGACAATCCAAAAGAGCGATAACGAAAACTGTATTCTCCAATAACAGAAATATCAATTTAGAAACTATATTAGAAATATTATAAATTGTCATTCTGACATTTTAAAAAAAATATACATCTATAACAAAATCTAAACGAATAACGACTTTAATTCGTTTGCAAAAGATGTCACTACTATTAAGATAATTATTCCTTCTAAAGTAGCAAAACAAATAACTGAAATTATAAAACCTGAAATAAACCAATTAAATGTTAAATGAGTTAAAAGTTTTAATGATTTCAAGGTGGAAAATAATTAATTAAAATCATGAACATTTATAATTTACCTTGCATTATTATAATCATAAGAATCATAATTAAAACAAGAGCAAATAAAACCAGTGACATAAATATTGCTAGAGATATGAGACTTATTGTAGTTAGAACAAACAAAGTAGTACATAACGGTGTTTTTATTACAAGTGATATGAAATTCATAGACAACTTTTGAATATTTGCCGTAATTTTGTCATAATATGCAGAGAAAGACCCTGTAAAAATACAGAATTCTAGATTACCTAATCTAGTAAATTTTAATTTTAAATATAAATTATAATTATCACAAAAAAAAAATTGTTGAAAACCACTTACACCAGGGTATGGTAGCAATAATAATAAATGATTTTCGTATATTTAATTCCATGTTTATGTCTATCTAATTCCAGTATTATGCCTAGCATATCATTACTAACATAATTACATTACCCAATATTATAACATTTAGTAAAAACACTACAGTGACATTTGTTTCTGTAACTTCATCTACAATAATATTTCTCTACCTGCAACCGATATTTTTATGTACCCGCTTGAAGAAAGTTTAATATTTTTTTTAATTTTATTTATCATATCAGCACACGTCAATAAAAATTATATAGTATAAGGAAAGGCAAAAGTATCAGTGATAGTAAGATTTTAAATTATTCTGTTCTTATTTTTCCGGCCGGTTCAGCCGGTTCTTATTTTACTTTTAATTTTAAAACACTTGCTTTTGGAAGTCACCTGCAAACTCACCGAGTCTATCAGCCGCTATCAAAGATCAAAACCAATAAATTAAACTGTCAGTCAATATCCAATCTTCTACAGTGCACAAACCAATGTTTGTGAAAGCTAACGTGGCACGATCGACTTTTTCGAGTTCAATAATCTTCATGATAATGAAACAAGGTTTTCGAAAATAATCAATTCACGAAACTCGCTAATATTTGAAAATTAAAAGATTCATAATTGTTTACGTAACGAGATGCGGACGCTCATAAATAACAATAACAGTACGAACTGGCATATTGGGATATCGTGTATTTGTGAATCAGTTACCTCATGTTCATTTCATGTATGTTTGAAAATAAATGCGGTGTGTGGTTGTGTAGGGTAGCGCTAAGCGGAGTTGCGCAGCATCCTGGCGACAACGCGATGTTCATAATGAAACCCTACTAAGCTGGCAAGTGGCAACACTTTCAGTGTACTTCAAAAGTTCAAATTGACGTTTTATAAAATTATTCTTATACACCGCGCCAATTTATTTGAGCTTTAAAAGAATGATTTGCTAATTAAAAGAATACTGCCGTACATGGAATATGCGTTATTTTAAAATTCTAACTATATATAATTAATTGGTTAATATTTGAAGTTACACACAAGAGTTCAACAAATATCACAATATGGTTAGTATTGTATGGTTTGTATTGTTAAGTCATTTTACGTTATAGTTATGAAATTTATTTTATTTTTCAGGTGGGCCATTATGATGAAAATTTATTATCAGATATGTTGCCGGTGTATTATACCAGATTATTCCCTCAAAACATTTTCTGTAGATGGCTTGCCTGTGGGAATAGTCCGCAACCCCTCTCAAATAGAGAGTTATCGTTTACGTTGGCTGATGATGTTTACATACGATATTTGTCCATAAACAATCAGAAAGAATTTCAAGCTTTGCTTCTAAAGAAATGCCCATACAAATTGGATATTGGTGCAGTTTATAATAATAAGTATGCTACATACCTACTATAATTTTTACTTTGTACTGTGAGTTAGAAGAAAGTGGACAAAACGTTTTTTACAGACCCTCTATTTCGCGTCATGATGCCGTAGTACTGGCACGGGAACTTGTATTTGATATAGACTTAACTGACTACGACGAAGTCAGAACATGCTGTCAAGAAGCTAAAGTTTGTGACAAGTGTTGGAAATTTATGGTAATCGCCTGTGAAATTATACATACATCGTTAAAAGGTAAACATTGTATTAAGTTTAATATTATAACAAATAATATGTAGTTAAATTAATTCTTGTACATAAATTTTGTTTACTAAAGTATTCATTTCTGTATTTCCTAATTTCATGTAAACCCTAAGCTACCTTTTTAAATACAAAAAGTTTAGATGATATTTGATGTGGCTCTGGAGTATAAAATATAGAAAATAGACATAATTGGTGCATTTGTTTTAGATGACTTTGGTTTTCAAAATATTTTATGGGTGTTTTCTGGAAGACGTGGTATTCACTGTTGGGTATCAGATTATGAAGCAAGAACTCTAGACAGTCCTGGAAGGGGTGCAATTGCCGATTATCTTTGCTTGATTATAGGTGGAGACAATCAAAATAAAAAGGTTAATTTAGGTGTTGATAATCTCCATTCAAGCATCAAGTGAGTGTATTTTGTTCTTGTCAAGTTAAACTATATTAGAACATTCCATCCATTATCTTTAAGTTAACTGTAACAATTTTCCTATAACTTTACCCTTACAATTTAATGTAATAAAATAGTAATATTAAGCAAAAGTGTCCACAATGGTTAGGAAACCACAAGCTCCATTTTTAGTGGTTAATATAAATAAAAATTTTCTGACACATTTTTACACAACATTCTCTAGTCCCAAACTAAGCAATACTTGTACTATGGGTACGAGAAAACTTAAAAATAAACATACTTAATATATAGTAACAAAAACATATACTTTTTTCCTAAATAAAAACATATACATATACAATGTGGCGCTACTAACGTGACCATAAATGAACACATATGGAGGATAACCTTTTAAAATTGTATTAAACATTTACTTTCTTAAACCATCAATATTTACTGAATTATTAATTTTAGAACAGCCTTATGTATTAAACTGTATTGTAAAGTTCATTTTTTAAGGTAACAAAGCATAATTTTGAATAGGTTGAATAAATTAAAAAGAGATAAAACATACTATTAGAAGGGGAGACTTGTAATGCAACATTGTGGCAACAAATGAAAAAGTCTCTGAATGTATGAATCAGTCAGTTATAGATGTATGGGATGTTACAAACTTTGATTCTTTTTTATTAAATTAGTTTGAGAATTTTTTATTTTAATTATGGATTTTTTTAATGTTTCTGTTTTTTTGAGTTTTTTAAGTGTGTTTATTTACTGTCGCGGTTGTAACGCCAAGCTGTATAATCACTGGGAAAACACTATCATCACACAATATTTTTCCAGTATTGGTCCCCACACCCTCTGGTGCAAGAGGCAGGTTTACTACTCCCCATGCCAATCGGGTTGTCGCAGTTAAATTTGTTTTCTCCTTCAAATGATGAAACATACTATTCATTTAAACATTTTTTTTTTCAGAAGATCTATTGGTATCATTGACAAGTATTTTGAGGAGATCATGCTGGATCAAGATTTTTTAGGAGCATCAGAAAGAATACAGAAATTTTTGAAAATGATTCCCGATGACTCTTTAAGGGAACAAGTACAGAAAAATTTTGAGAAAAATTCTGGAACTTCTTTAGAAAAATGGCATTTGTTTGTTAATACATATGACACATACTTAAGAGAGGTAGGTGATTTAAATTTGCTCATACTCATATTGTAGCTGCTTAGTTATTTTCTATGATTATCAGTGTTTCAGAAACCGAGCATTAGATTTTTACTTGAACAGATATGAATTGAAATAAAGGAAAAAGACCTGCCACAAACCTTACAGGAGGCTTGGACTAGGCATGAGATATACCTGCAACATTCTATACCCGGCCTCAAAGGTACAGGTATCGCCGTATACCCGGTGCTAAAACCCAGTATCAAAATACCTATAGGTATTAGTTATGTTCAGGCCTCCTTTTGGAGACCCGGTATGGAATTGAACCTTTCTTTGGTTGGAATTGGAACATTTAGATGTTTTTTTAGCAATCAGTTTATTAAATTGAGATTTAATCAGTCTAAAATAAGCTCCATCTTTACCAACGTAAAGAACCCTATTATCAAAAAAAAGTAATTAAATATTACTGTTTAATCTTATTACGCAATTATTTATCTACCTAATTGTCATAGAAATAAAGAATAAATTTATCTCAAGGAAATATTTGGTATAAAATGCCGTAGGCGGTCGAGCGCGAAGGTTATAAAATACAGCCACAGTCTGACGAGGCGGCGCTAGGTCCGCGTACTCGCGAGCGATATCGACAATACCTATCGGGTCCGGAACGGGCCTCTGTGGACCGGGTATGTACGGCAGACTGCCGTACATCGTACATCGAACGACTAAGAGATGGGTCGTATCATTTTTTCTGAGAACCGTATTTGAATCAGATTTCGATTTCAAATATCAGATTTCGAAACTATGTATTTTAATAAATGTAAATTACGTTTGCGTATCCACCTTAGATTCATAAATCTGATATATCTCCTATACACGTTTCAATATTATTCGATATTATGGATATTTATCTATTTAATAGGTGTTAACGGTGTTATTTCACATTATAGGGAAATTCACAATGTATTCCTTTTTTTTCGTTTTATAACTAAGTTTAGAATATAATTAATGAATATGATGATAGTAGAATATTATTTTTGATTTATTTAGTAAAAGTTTTTAACACCAGTGAGTCTTACAAGGTCAAGCCGCAAGCGTACGATTAAAAATTTCTAAGTATTTTTTTTCGTTTGTTGCAAAGTTTGGAGTCTCAACTTTAAAACCTTTAATATAATATAATTTAATTAATAGTTGTTTTATTCCCGCCAACTATGATCATAATAGAATGTACACTATGTTATTATGTACACTAGTATTAATTTGTGCGGTATTATTTTACACTATACCTATTTTTTAAAAAGTCCATAAAAACCCCACAACGACTATAAAAAACAAATCTTTTTTAAATATTAGAACACGAAGGGCAAAATTTTCTTCCGCAATTATTCGGACACAAATAGTATACATACCTAAAACTATTTAACTAAAAACTATTACGTGTACTCTAGCTCAAGGTTAAATAAATAAAAAAAAAAAAAAGACATCGTTGATGCCATGATTAGTAAACGCAAACAGAGTTTTTTTTACATGACGTTAAGATTCAAAATTGCTTTACTTATTCATAAAAACTGTTTAGAAATCTGATATTGTGGCAAACGCGTATGATATCGCGATTCGTGTCGGTATAGCGAGTGAGCGAGTATTCGGTACATCGGATTTCGGAAATAACAGATATTGTAAAATACATTGATTTTGAACGAGCCAGTAAGCGATTTTCGGAAATTGTACCAATATATAGTTTTCGTATCTGTATACGATTTGTATCGCCCACTTCTACATTTGGAACATTTCAATGTATTTTTAGCAATCAGTTTTTTGAAATTGAGATGCGAGTCGTATTTACTTACCTGCCTACTGTATTTTGTATTAAATGAAATCTTTCCTTCCTACTTTACCAGGTTTAGGACTGTCAGCTAAGAGTATATTATTAAACTACACATAACTTACGTATAACGTTCTTATAAATATTTGTATTAAAACAAAACTCCTCGCGGGCGTAGTTAAAAGATTTCATTTCAAATCACTAATTTTTTTTTAACTATATTTTATATAAGATTTAGAATCATGTTTTTTACTGTAAGTCATTATTTTTTGTTTTGCTGCAGAAATAGCAGTTGTTGTAATTTACGACTACCGAGTCGCGATCTTCTATCAGTTAATATGGTACCCGCTGCGGAAAATAGCCGTTCGCATGAAACGCTAGTGGCTACTGGAACGGTCACCAGCAGGGCTATCATCGAAGTGCACAAATATATAGATAACAGCGTATTTTCCCCAAATATGGATCCATTAGAATGGTGGAGAACTAATCAAGTTATATACCCTCACTTAGCTAAACTAGCCAAGTTAAAATTAAATGCTATGGCTATATGCACTTCGATGATAGCCCTGCTGGTCGCCGTTCCAGTTGGTCGTACAGCTGAAATTTTCTTAATGTAATGTTTCCAAATTAAGCTTTTTGTCTGTTGTTTTGGAGCATGACTACCTGGTGCTTCAGAATGTGAAGTTACAGATAAACTTCTTCTTTCTTCTGCATGTAGCATGCTAGTAACTAAACCGATGACGTAAGCTTTTATGCTGTCTGCGGCATTTGGATTATTGAAGTATAATTTATATCTTGGATCTAAAAAGGTAGCAGTAGCGAGCGTTTTACTACTTTCTAAAAGTCCTAAGCGGTTATTTATTTCTGACAGCAGATCCTGTCGGCATATTTCTATCTCGTCTGGAAATACACTAAAATTATTTTCACTCTGGTATGTAGGGTTTACTATCTCTTCTAGAGCGTTAGCGAGACCTGTTGTCAGGGGAATCACAGAGCTTCCAGTGACATATTTTTGGCCGCTCATTTCCCTCGTTATTTCTTCACATGGCCGCAATACCCATATTAATGACTGGCATATATTCCACTCATAACTAGTCAAGGTTTCGCAATTGGCGGTATTTAAATTAATTAAGGCACAGTTTAATTCGTCTTTCAGTTCCAAAAATCTTTCTAACATATAAAATGTTGAGTTCCATCGCGTTGCGATGTCTTGAATAGGCCTCTTTACCACTTTATTGGCCTGCTCCTGATAGGTTTTCAATTTAAGCCAGGCCACGTTACTACGTTTAAAATATGATACTATTGAATTAACTTTATTCAATGTCTCGACAATATTGGTGCAATTGAGAATTTTTTGAACTGCTAAGTTTATAGTATGTGCGTAGCAGCCGAAATGTTTCCATCCTAGTACTTGTCTCACAGCATTGGTGATATTGGCTCCGTTATCCGACACCACTAGGACCACCTTCTCTGCGGGAATAGACCACTCCTCAGTTATATTTTTTTAATTCTTCGGCCAAATGTAAGCCAGTATGGCTTTTCTGCATAACTTTGCATTCCAGAAGGACTGACTGGAGTTTAAAATTTTTGTCAATGTAATGTCCCGTGACAGCAACATAGGAGTCATTATTTCTAGACGTCCATATGTCGGTAGTCAGGCAAATACTGAGTGCATCTTCATGTAGTGCAGTTTTAGTAGCAGTTGTTACTTCTTCAAAGAGCCCTGGTAATAAATTATTTGCAAAATATTTTCTAGACGGTATGGTATAATTAGGGAAGGCATACTTAATGAGTTCTTGGAATCCTCGGTCTTCAACTATTGAAAATAGTTGCATATCGTGTATAAAAAGGTTCATAATATGATCATCTATTATTTTTTTATTTTATTGCAATCGCGGCGGAGAAACGCCGATATGCTGGAAGGATTCACTCTTATCGTAGATGTATGGGAGACAGTACCGGCGGTCGTGAAAGCTTGAGGCACTCCTGGTTCATGCACTTGTGCTTCTTCAGCCGGATTTTCCACTCGATCCACACTTTGTTCCCTTCTAACTAAATTGACAGCAAGATGTTTCCGCTGAATGTGTTTTGTTAGGTTTGTCGCTCCTGATTTATACTAGAAAACCGCTTTACACATTTTACATTCGGCTTTGTAGTCACCTTTATTTACAAAATGATCCCAAGCAACACTTTTTTTAGGAGGCATCTTTCTTCAATTAAAGGTCTATAGTTACAATAATACCTATCAGCTAATATTTACACAGATCTTTACAAAATTATACTTACACTTTACAATTACTTTAGACACCCAAAAAGAAACGAAAAATATCAATACAACAAGCAAAACAACAACTACAACAACATAGCAACACGCTATAGCTATAACTATAACGCGCCAATAATCAAGGCCAAAGTGAACTGACGTAAAAAATCAAAATAGTTCACAAAATAAATTGTCAACCTAAGTACGGTATACCTATAACATCTTAAAATAATTATTTTCATTCAGTCTAAAATAAGCTAAAGTAATTAAAAAAAAATATATTATTATTTGACATTAATACGTAATTATTTATTTAACTTATGGTCATAGAAATAAAGAATAAATTTATCTCAAGGAATTATTTGGTATAAAATGCCTAAATCATACGTTTCAATTCGGGCATGATCGGGAAGAGCCGCCGTAAGCGTACGGGGATGTTCGTACCTATTCGGCCGCCGTCTTGTCGCGAGCGTTATATACCGCCACCGTCGGACGAGGCGGCCATACCCAGCCATACCTATCGGGTATGGAACGGGCCTTTGCCGTACATACCCGGTGTGCGTACTGGCATGTTCATAATGGGTATTTATACCTGTTCCAGTATATACGCCTCATCCCTAGCTTGGACTGTCTTATCATCTTCCTTCTATACTGGCTAGATGCTTATCAACTTTTGAAGGATGGAAGATAGAGATTATAATGACATTTTATACACACCGGCACAGTTAGTAGACAAAAAGTGTGAATGTAAAATATTAACCTTTATATTTAAATAAATAACAATTTGTTATTATTAAGTAACATCATCACGGTGGTAAGCTTTCTGTCTCACCTGATGTTAAATGATAATCGCCGCCCATGGAAATTTCTAACACCCTAGGGTTGCAGGTGTGTTGCCAACTTTTAATAAAGTGGACCCCAACTACCTCACTTACCAGATGCAAGGCAGAAGTGTAACACTTCTACTTCACGCCGGTTTTCTGTGAGGTAGCAGTACTTACCAGAACGGACAAACCGGTGCACAGAAAGTCCACGGTTTGTGCGGTCTGTCAAGTTTTGGTACTTTTGCAGGTACAAACAAACCTATACTATATCTTCAAATCTTCTAAGAGCTGTGTGCTCTCTTACTTGTACTCCTTAAACTTCATCAAGTGTATTTCACTCCTAAATGTTTTTTGTTTGCACTGCCGTAAGCAATGTGTTCCTAAAAAATTTAATTTGTAGAAAAATTTCACTAACATAGTGATTTGATTTTAAATGTAATGAATGTTAAAATAATTGACTTGCCATATTCTAGGAACATAAGAGTCACATTTGAAATACAACTTGTATGTTTATATTGAATCATTTTATTTCTAATAACTTTATTCCCGAATTGTTTTAAGAATATTTAAAAAAATTGAAAAATGTGTAATGACACATTTTCATACCATATATCATTTATGTAATGTTTTCAGAATGGAAATGCAATTCGCAAGACAAAGTACTTGGTGGATGAAATCAAAATACAATACTGCTACCCGCGATTGGATGTTAATGTTACGAAAGGGTTCAATCATCTTCTAAAGTCACCATTCAGTATCCATCCAAAAACTGGGAAAGTTTCTGTAGTATTCAAACCAAGTAGCGTCCGAGATATGAAACTAGATGAAATACCAACCATATATACTTTACTTGATGATACCACTCCTGATAATGTTCAAAATCAAAATAACATGAGAAACGCAGTCAAAGTTTTTCAAGAAGTTGTGTTTTCTTTAGAGAAGGCCGAAGCAATGAGAAGAAGAAATGATGCTAGTGAGTAAATTTGATTCACTTGTGGGTTATGTAATAAAGGGTTTATAAGATGAAGGAAGCTAGATTAATTAATGTTGTGTGTGTATGTGCGTGCGCATTGAGAAAATATTTTTACGAGCTAGGGGTTCGGGATCGAAGTGAAAGGCCGGTTGTTTAAATCTTCAGTTTATTAACACAAACGGAGGCGCTCTCCATACCGCTTAAAGCCGCACTCTACTACTACATGTGTAATGACTCTGTCGTCGTGCACTAATCCTCGTTTGATGAAACTCGTTACCGCACCACTTTCCACGTACACCTTTAAATCTCTTCTCTCTAGCACTATATTCGTCACTACGCTTTTAACTTCAATTTGCACTTTGAAATTGACAATCAAGACGTTAACCTCGTGATCGTAACAATATTATGTGGACATGAGGCTATGCCCCAGAGTGTTCTCTACACAGAATCCATATCACCGTTAATCAAACTCAACGGCATTTCCTTAGCCTTTGATGAATTCAAAAATCAAAATGTTTCGCCGATGCACGCTATTATACGACCAACCGCCGTCCACCTTATTGCGGTTATTATACCTTGACCCCCGATGAGGTTTCATACATTTAAGGTTTAAATTTTAAACCCGACGCCCCCTAGTCGACGACCAGGTTTTGTCTGATCGCCTCAACCCTTTGGCCTTGAAGACATGGTACATATCTTGCGTTTTATGTCACATGTATTACGAGTGTGTTACGAGAAATTGTCCGATTAATACATGCTGCTGAGTTTTACCATCGTATAAATCAATCAATTGCCAAACACCATCGATAACAGTTTGAGGGTTAGTAGTCCATCACACACGTTTTCCACGCATTTTTTTTTGCCATGGACATCCACTTTGTGGAAGGTGGTATGGTTGTCACTACCGGTATTTCCTGCTGATACGACTTAAGGCGCTGTATGCAGTGAATTTTTAACTATTTCGGTGGTGAAGCAGGGGAGCGGAGGAGGGGTGACCCCGCTTAGCGGGGCGCAGCGCGCGAGTTTCGTCGACGCGCCGCGTGACCAAGTCATTCATTACCTATTAGTGGTGGGCCGTAGGATACTTATAGACCATGATTGTATTTAACTTTTATATTATTATAGGAATAGTAATGAACAAACAAATATAAAGTATGAGAAAGCATTCAAACAATTTTAGAAAATCTTCCTATTAATTATTTTAAATTATCAGGAAACGGATTAGAATTGATTAAAAATACATCTTAAGGTCAAATAAATTAATAAAGGCAAAAGAAATTTCTTACAACAAAAGAATAAATAAACGAATAGTTATTCATCTTGATTTAATGTAATAGCTCATAAAAATTTTAAGTAATTTCATGGTGTCCACGGCAGAAATTACGAATATGACTTTTTATTACATATTTTCTTAAACTATACAGCGTGTTTTTACCATCGCGACAATAAATGAACACACGTCTAACGTTACTTGCCAATAATCATAAAAAAATATTAACCTTAAACAAAATCCATAATTAAAAAAAATATTATTCAAACAAACTAATTATGTAAAAAAGAAACAAAATTTGTAACACCTATACAACTACAACTGACTGACTCATACATTCAGAGACTTTCATTCGTTGCCACAGCGTCGCATTACAAGCCTCTCCTTCTAACAGTATGTTTTGTCTCTTTTAAATTCATTCAACCCATTCCATTTTAATTTATCCTTTAAATGTTAAAGACTTAATACGTTATATAAATTCCTCAATGAAACGATATTTAAAAAATTATTCATAAAATTCCTTATATCGATAAACGACAACAATTATAACTAGAATCGAAATTTTGTCAACTTCCACAGACATCGTGTAGCCCAGGGGTGAACAACCTTTTTAATCAATGGGCCAATTTAAATTTAAATTTTTTTCGATGGGCCGCACATAATAATTTACGAAACTTTATTTATAATAAATATTAGAATAATAAAATTAAAAAAGTAAAGACTTCATATACAAATTTTAATGGAAGGTAAAAACAAACAAGAAAAGACCAGAAAAACGAACAAAAAATATTTCGGTTCAGTATGTACTACCATTTAATTATAATTCATTTCATAACAATATGTTGATGGGAGAAATTCGATAAAATAAATTCCATTTTAGAAATGCTTGGCGGGCCGCATACACATTTTTAACGGGCCGCAAGTTGCCCACGGGCCGCGCGTTGCTCATCCGTGGTGTAGCCCATTATGCCGAGGTCCGAGCGTTATGGTATCATGGTAGGTGAACAATTACGATGGTCCCAAGTTTAAACCTTATTGAGTGGTACATCTTTTTCCAATTTTAATTTGTTAATCAATTAATTATTTTGTTTATATTTCATAAAATGTGGAAAATAAGTTAATGAAAAAGTTATAAAACAATTATTTTTCGTGTTCGTAAAAGATTAATTTTCGATTTAGGGTGAAAAGTTAAAAATATTTTAATAAAAAAAATTAAAACTATTTATAGTATATGACGTTAAAAATTTGAAATAATGAAAAGTTGGTTTTATTATCTGATAGATTGTTCTCCAACTGTTGCGTTCTACGTTCAACAAATACAATAATATTTTGTTGTAATTATTTATAAAAATAAAAAAATCAACAAAAATTAAATGGTAAATAAAAAAATACATACAAATAATTAAAAATGCGAAATATGTGAATACATATTTTTTTTAGTTTCGTGTTTTGGAAAGATCTAATAAAATTATAACTCTCAATAATAAATAAATACGAAACACGTTTCGTAACGGTGAGACGAGCGGCATAGGTCCATCGAGCAACGCGCCTCAGCGCTCTCTGTTCAACATATGAAAATGGAAGAGAACCGAAACAACGCCGCGGTGGCGCTGTGTTTTGGTCGTCGCCCTCGAATTAATTTTAATGAATTAAATTAATATTTATAAATATATTACTACAATCAACAAATTAAGACAACAATCCATGTTATTAAAATATTTCACTTTACTGATATTAATTTAATTAAGATTTGTTAATGTATTACTGTCATTTTTGGATTTAAATTTCTCTTTTAGAGGTAGTTTCATGATTTTTTTTTCTATCGAGACAATATATCGAGAATATGTTTTTAAAACAATGTTCCATTAGAATGTAAGATCAAGATTAACATATTTTTCTTGCTGCTATAAAATGTATAGATTTTGTTAAAAAATCTTTTGAAAAAAACGTATTTTTACTGCATACAGCGCCTTAAGGATATTCATGAAGAGAGCCGATTACTGCCTCAAAGACCACCAACGCATTTGTGACTCCTCCGACGTTGCAATTGTCTACGAGCGGCTTTCATCCTTTACCAACGACTCGCTACTGCGTTGCCCAAAATTCACATAAATAAAAAAGTGTTTGGGAGCTCTGAGTCCGCAATCTAATGCACATGATTATCACTGTGGTAGAGCCACGCAGTAGACATTACTACTCCACGAATGGGCAGGCTTGTCCTGGGTACTGCAACGTATCTGCAACTTCTACGTCACAAAGTTTACGTGAAACAAAGTAGTATGAAACTTATTCCTTACACTAGAAGCATTTATGCCGACGACAGCTTGTTTTTCGCGTCATTTCGTCGACTCGAAAAAGTAAATCACACAATTCAGAGTCAGTACTCGGGACTTATTGTCGTTGGTTGGATAAGTGACGGGTGATTTTTAACATAGATAAGACGGCCGCGTTCACGACCTGGCCTACTGTGTCAAAGCCACTGTTAGTTTTTCTAGGGCAGAGCAAAGAATGGCGGGCCACTGTGACTTATCTCGAGTGCACTGTCGATCGCACGCTAAGTCCCCCAGGTCTGTAGTTCACCAAAACGGAGCTGCCTGCGCAGAGCTGGCGCTCGGCTTAGTTACACTGCACCAGTGTGGTACGCCGCTACTTTTCAAACGACAAAGGCAACGTCATTACCTTCCAACAGGACGATGTTCCCCTCGAGACAATTAGCGGGTTTAGGAGTTCGATTACTTGATACCCGCACTTGCACCTGTCAGACTTTTAGAGCAGTATAGATAACCATGTGTTGTGGTTAAACCAGATTAGTGAGAGAAATGGGATTTGACATCAGTTTGCAAGTCAGTATCATTTGTTAATGCTATTGACTTGAAAACTGATGTCAAATCTTTGAAAAGTATTTTGGCTAAATTACTCTTTTCAAAGCTTGAAGATCCGTGAAAATTTATTATGACGTTAGTCTGTCCTATTTTTATAAACTTATTTTTTTTTTTTTGCAGATACGACTATGGAGTTCTGAATAAGTTTTGTTACACTGCTGGAAATATATATTACATAATTAAAAACTAAGTTTTGTCAGATTTTTTATTTATGTATAAAAATAAATTTCCGCCTAAAGCTGAAGCTTATGTTACTAATATAAACAACAAAATAGTGGGAATGAGCATATAACAAAAATATATAAATGACACAGTCCCTGAGTTGCCGCAAACAAATCAGAGAATCAGTTTTATTTTACCATGATACAGAATTTTTTAAAATCTTTCAATTGATTAAATTGAAAGGTTTTGTAGTCATTCGAGTGTTCAGTTCAGATTAAAAGATAATATAGGCCAAAACAATGTGTGATTACTGCTTAAAAATCTTATCAGATATTTGTGATCTTTTCAAGTCTATAAAGAGCAACTTAATGCTACATTTAGAAAATCCTCAAATCCTATGGTGACAGTTCCATTTTGTTGAGTATCGCGGACTCGAAAAGCTTCTGTAAAACGTTGTATTTGAACACACAGAACAATGAAACTGTCTACTGAAATTTTTCCTTCCCTTGGATCACTTCTCTTAGACAAAAAATTGATGAAGTCTGGCGAAAAACGAAATCCCATTTGAGTAAGCGCTGGAAAATACAAAACGTATTAGTGGTTGAAACATGATAGTTTAATATTCAGGTTTATTAAAGGTACTCGACTGTTTCCAATTAGATTAGATCGATTGTACTGTTGATCATCTAAATATTTTCTAACCCATAATAGCAAAGCTGTTAAATAAAGTAAATACAAACAAACCTTTAGCCAATTCCTGTTCGTCGATGTTGCCCGATTGATCTACATCATAAGTTTTAAAAACTGCAAGCCATTGATTAATGTAAGTATATAATTTGTCAAATTCTTCCAAGTTTATATGTCCCGATCGATCCTTATCGAACATGCCTAAAAGTATATAAAAAGTAATTTCTTTCAAATGATAATAGACCGTAGGTATCAATCAATATTGCAATAAATAATATAAAAGGTGGTAGTCAACTATTACTAATTTTTAGTCTTGCATCATCACTTGTGTAATCCTCATGGACAAGTGTTGGCGAGAATGCTAGTGAATATTAGTAAATACAAAATACTTTTGTTTTTAACTTCCGTTTGTCATGCTAGAGGACGGGATATTTATTTTAAGTTAGGAAGTAACAATCATTGCATTTTCCAAATAGATGCAATAATATTATCGTAGACGTTATTGTCTTTATTGCTAAGTACCATATTAAACTAACGTGAAGTTAATTAAACAAAATAGTAAAATGGACGTACCAATCATTAACAGACAAGCCGTATCAGAAAAATTCTGGCCCTGCGCATTCACTAAGGCAGATTTTAATTCGGCGGCTGAAATGAACCCGGACTGGTCCTTATCCACTGCAGAAAACCATTGTTGCACTTGTGGTGCGATACCTCCTCCAGCTCCAACGGATGGATAAGGCCCATGGCCTATTTCCAATTGACCGCCTTGTTGCCCGCCGTAATTCGATTGACCATAACCTGGCTGAACAAATATATCGAGTAAGCTGTACACTAGTACGGTCACGCGGTAGCTTCTCTAATTGCACGCATGGGCAAGCTCGTCCGAGGAAGTATCAAGACCTCACGAAATACCGGCGTGAAATGGAAGTATTTTATACTTTTATGTTTAGTCTGGTGAGCGGGATAACTGGTATCCATTTTAAATGCTCGGCAACGTACCTGTAACCCACTTGACCATCAGGTGAACTTCCTGCTCCCCCGCCAATTTGAGTTAGTAGAGATGTAGTTTTGAGTTAAAGGAAGTTTTACCATTTACATTTTACTTTAAACCCTGTTTAAGTAATAGATTAAATCAAGCCAGACAGATATGGCTCAATTTACTACTAAATTTGGTTAATAACTATGACCTGCAATATTATTTTCATTATTATTTTAAATAATAGCTTTACGGAAATACCTATAATATATTCTTAGTTAAAGGTTACTCTTAGTCAAAATATATTCTTTCCCCAATTTTTTATCAAATTTATAGATTTAAAAACGATTTCACAGTTTCAGAGTTTCATTTCACCAGTTTATGTTTACCACTATTGACGGAAAATAGATAAGTTGAATATAGTAAATTTTTTCATAACTCGTTTAAAATATTTGTTTAAAGTGTATCGTAATAAATTATCACTGAAATGAAAAGATAGATACAGTCAATGATTTTTTTTACACTACAGATATATTGTTAACGCGCCCAAAGTGAGGATCCAAAAAGTCTCAATTGCGACGTCTCGACTTTAGTTCACGTTAGACAGGGCGGCGAATGAGACGCGGTGTGAAAAATTTTACAATAATAAAAATGCGTCGCGCCGTTACGCCCTCTACTCTTATTCGTAAAAGGATAGTATTGTGTTCATGATATGAAATCACTTTAATGATTATTTCCGTAATTGTAGTGTTCTAATGGTAAAAGTGGGGATGTATTATTAAATAACAAAAAAACGAAAATGAAAGTTATATTGTTTTCTATTCATAAAAAAAAAAAGTGATATACCGGGGTGTTACAAAACTACCCGTAAAGCCGAAAGGAAGAACCGCAGTAACGCCGTATAACATACCCCAAAAAAAAATTTTTTTTTTTTTATGTGAAAAGTTGCCAAACGAGCAGACGGTTCACCTAGTGGTAAGCGAATACCGCCGCCCATGGACATCTGCTACACCCAAGTGTTACAGATGCATTGACAACCTTTTGAAAATTGGGCTCCGGCTACCTCACTCACCAGACGAAACGCGAAAGTATTTGTCATACTTCCACTTTACGCTGGTCTTCTGTGAGGTCGTGGTACTTACCCGTACGGGCCTGCTCATTCGTGCAACAGAGGAGGCTGCTGCGTGGCCCTACCACCGTATAAATAAATTATTATTTTCACTGATGTGCAAACCCTATTTCAGTTAAATTCAAGAGTAAACTACGTAAAATGTACCTACATTTCTACCTAATTCGCAGAACGATAAAAAAAATTTAAAAGACCTAACCTAAACGAACACTTACTTTTTCATAATAAAGTCAAATTTACAGAAATGGGTCAAATTGTTCTCCGCCTTGCTCAATACATAACCTTGCTCGTCGGGATATGGCTTGTGTGGCATTTCGCACCATTGTCGGTGTTATTGATGCGAAAACCGATTTAACACGCTGTTCCATCTCGGCAACCGTTGGGCAGTTGGAGAAATACTCATTGTTTTTATTATCTATTCACGAAGTTTAAGCAGGCGCTTCTTCTTTATACAACGCACTTTCTCGACGCTTTATTTTCTCCTCACTAATATAAGTGTACCAAGCTAGCCTTGGTGCCATGAAAATTATTGTTTTGTGTATTATATACTTTTCAAAACTTCTCTCAAATGCTGTCTGCTGCTTCTTTTATATTAAGCAGCATCCTTGATCTTGATTCTTTGACTAAATTATTTGAATTATCACAAAATAGCAAAATTGTTGTTTAGGTTTTTTTCTTTTCAAATTAACCACTTCGAACAAGATTTCTACCGTACAGAACACTAAACAGACACTAAAACTTATTATATATGTATACAAAAGCACGACTTAACAAAGCAACGTCTTTACGTCAACAGACAGATGGAAAACAAAATTTCAGGATCTACCTGTTGGCCTTGGGAGGCCTGAACAGATCCACCGGACTTGAGGTTACACGTTATGGCAAAGCAACGTCTTTACGTCAACAGACAGATGGAGAAACAAAATTTCAGGATCTACCTGTTGGCCTTGGGAGGCCTTAACAGATCCACCGGACTTGAGGTTACACGTTATGGCTCGAGGGCTCCCGAGGTAGCCTCGTTTCGGGCCATTGGGCTATTATTATTATTCTCACCGGTTTGTGACGCCATCAAGATCCCGTTTAACATCCCGATTCGAGGGTGCTCGAGAGGGCCGGACCTCGGCTCGATCTGTAGTATAGTCTAACTGGGAGAATTTCTAGCTAGAATTTCTAGAATTTCTTATCATTACTACCACTTTGGAAAGCGTTAGTGCTGGGAGAAGAAGTGGCGGAAGAAACTCCAGCAACGCTTCTATCATTAACCTGCCACGTTTACGAACTGTTTGATCCTATTGATGGCAATAGTCGTCTCATCGTCAGGGAAGTCGAGGACGTGTCGTGATCTACGTCAACTGCGGCAGAACGTAACTAGCGGTAGGTGACAGCACCTACGACTAACGGATTGTGATGCGCGGTACGCGATGCCGACTTCAGGAATTGAGCGATGGTTGGCAGCTATAAATCTACGTGTAAATCGATCTTGCGCATGAACCACGGTGCTCCCATAGCACTGCGCAAGAATCGATTCTGAATGACCTGATACCGATGGATTTGCTTCGGAGCACTGCACGTGGAGACTGGACTCGCGTATGTCATGATAGGGCGAACTACTGCCTTATATAAAGTCACATTGTTCCCAAGGGACATTTTTGACGTCTTGTTTAATAACTGATAGAGGCACCCGGTTCCTGACCCGAGTCAAATGGTTGCTGACAATGGTTGACTTTAGAGTAAAGGTCGACACCTAAGAATTTAACTTTATTGACCCATGGTACCGGACTGTCCATGAGTTTAACGGGTGAGGACTCCTACGTACGCTATGCTTACTCTATGGGTAAAGAGGGGATGTAAGGGAGCGGGAAGGGACCCCAACAGCTGACTGCAAGGTGTGCTTCGTTATTATATAGGGTCTCAGGTATAAGAATAAATATTTTCGGACACATTTTTACACAACGTTCTCTAGTCCCAAACTAAGCAATGCTTGTAAAAAGATACTAGAAATCTGATAGACATACTTAAACATACTTTTCTTTTGTAAATGAATACGTATTATACATATAAACACCCAGATACTGGAAAAACACTATTTTCACCACACAATATTTTTCCAGTAGTGTGGATCGAACCTACAACCTCTGACGCAAGAGGCAAGTGCACTACTTCCCACGCCAATCGGGTCGTTGCCAATCGTCAATCCGGCCATAGTTGCCGAATCATTGCATACCTACATCTACCTACATCTCTTCGTATTGGTGATATATATATCACTTTTTAAGTCAGTAGCTCGCAAATGTTATATTAAAATTTTAGACAACTGACTAATGAACTAAAAAAAATGTATCGATTTCTATCTACACAAAAGGAAACAAATGCGATATATTCGTATGCTATGCTTAAATCAAATTTATATCTTTGTAAAATAAATTAAATTAGATTTGGCCGAAAATAGCCGTTTGTAAAAAATAATAACAATACTATATTGAACGTTGATGAAAACTGTTATAAAAAGTACATCATTGCTTATCTCTTTCCCACTAGTACGCAGTTTTTTTATCTCTCTCACTCTCTGCTACTGACTATTGAGTTGAAACGTTTACAGGTGCTTCAGTTTACGGAAAAGGAAATGAACCATATATCAAAGAATATTAATATATAGTTTGAAATATAGTAAGCTAAGGATATACTCGATCGCTTCGATAGAGATATTTGTTTTATCAATCAAAATCAATGTCTTTATTCAACATAGGAGCATTACACTCGCTTATTGATAGTCAAAACACTACCACCGGTTTGGAAAAGAAAGCCACTGTACTGAGAAGAACCGGCGAAAGAAACTCAGCGGGCTTTTTTTTAATTTTTTTAGACACCAGAATGCCATAAGACATTATACTGTGGAAATAACTAAAATATACCAAGCGAACCGTATCTACATCAGTTAACTGTCTTATTTTTTTGACCGCGAAAGCTGCTGAGCTAAGTCTACTCGCCAGTCTATTAATATGGGGGCCCCATTGCAGTTTGGCATCAATAGTTATGCCAAGGAATACAGTTGAGTCAATAGGGTCCAACGCTTCCTCATATAAAAGTACATCAGTTTTTACATGTTTAACATTGGAAGTTGTAAATTTAATACATTTGTTTTTTTTTATTATTCAACAGTAAATTGTTACCACTAAACCAATGTACTACAGTGGAAAGACTATTGTTTTTATCGTCATAACTTAAAGAACGTCGTTTTACTTTAAAGATTAAAGAGGTATCATCAGCAAACAATATCATATCTTGCGAGTAGGCTAAGCTCCGCTGTTTTTGCTATTAGGAAGGTTAGACAGCTAACAGACATCGACACTGCCAGACTTATTTACTTTAGTTATTTTCACAGCATCTTATCGTACGGCATTTTGTTTTGAGGTAGTGCATCTGATATAAATTCTATATTTATTCTTCAAAAAAGAGCTGTCCGAGCAATCTATAACATCGGAGCCCGGGATACACTCAGAGATATTTTTAAAGAGATTAATATACTCACTGTTGCGTCCCAGTATATTTATTGTAATATCTTGTACGTTAGACATAATCTTAATTGTTACCTAAAGAATAGTGACAGACATAAATTAAATACTAGAAATAAGGACAAATTAATTACACCATTGTTTCGTCTAAAAAAAGTAAAAAAAACTAAACCATCAAAGTCATT